ATATAAAACAATAGTACATATTTTATGACCATTTTACATACCACAAAACTAATGCTCAAAATTTTTTATTCAGTATAAGTCACAAGTGATGTGGTACGTTAAATTTAAATGTTTCTTCATGATGGTCAGGACTTTTAGACCCCACTGCTTACCCATCATTCCCTTAAAATACGATAGTCTTCATTTGTCTAACACCCTTAGTTGAGTACATGAAACCATGGATGTACTGAGACATATGTGTACTGTTGTTCTGATTTTGCTATTCACATATACCTACGATGTAGTGTAATTTATAAGTTAAGCAGTGTAACAGATTAATGTGAATAACAGTAAACCATAACAACTATATTTTAATAAAATGTTTGCTTTGAGAGCATTATCAAATAAAATATAGGCAAAGTAATACCAACAGTAACCAAGAAACCGTGAAGAGGGAACGCTCAGACACGCTGTCACCATTGCTGTAGCTTCTTACAAAAGAGAGTGACTGAGAGAGGCTGACTAGACTCCAGGGAATGAACCTGTACCAGGGACATCTGGGCACAGAAGTTTGGCTCTATAGGCTTTAACATACATGACAGAATGCATGAACTCTGGTGGGAAGGGGACAAATGGGAAGGAGGGTGTAGAGGTGGGAGGGGGTCTAAATAGAATTAAGATTTATTGTAGGAAATGCACAAAAATTCGATAAAAGTATACATTTAAGAACTTGCTACAATGCTACTATAATCAAAAGAGTGTGGTTATGTGCACCAAAAATACACCTCTAGCTAGGCAAGGTGGCACACGCCTTTAATCCCAGCATTTGGGAGGCAGAAGCAGGCAGATTTCTGTGAGACTGAGGCCCGCCTGATCTACATAGTGAGTTTCAGGCCAGCCAGGGTTAAATAATGAGACCCTGTCTCAAAAAATCCAGAAGAAGAAAACCACATGTAGATTAAAAGAATAGAATTGACAATCCAGGAACAATCTCTCACATTTACATGGTGTTAGTTTTGCCAAGGATATCAGATGTCAGATCAATTCAACAAGGAAAACAGATTTCTCACATATGTGGATGTGGGAAAACTAGATAGTCACATACAAAAGAATGAAATTAGACCTCTGTCTCATACCCTATAAAACACGTAAATTGAGATGGACAAGCAATGTAACTGTAAGAGATAAAACTATGGAATTTAGATGAAAACTTAGAAGCATATCTCTGTGTCTTTAGATTTGGCAAACATTTCTTAGATATAATATAAAAAATAAAGATAATATATCAAAAAGTGGACTAAATCAGACTTCATCAAAATGAAGAAATTTATGTTGCAAAAGGATACAATTAATAAAACTTCACTACAATCCAATGTACATGGGAAAAAATATTTGGAAAACATCAATCCGATAAGGGACTTGACTTTTAGTGAAAATAGAGGAAAAGCATTTATAATTCAATAATTAAGAAAATAACATGGTAAGGTGCCCATGGTCTCCTCATGCCTCATTCCTGCTCCTACAAGCAATCCTAATGTAATTCACTGGGTCATAAAAAACACAAAACAGCAACCACAAAAAATACATGATAGCATAAGGAAAACTAGATGGGAAGAGAAAGTGGAAAGCTGGAACTCTTAATTACAGCTCTTACTAATGGAAACGGTTCAGACACAGTGGGATGTGACGTGGCAGCTCCTCAAGAGTTAAGCATGCACTTATATAATCAAAAAAATGCTTTATCTTGATTGTGGTGATGGTTAACTGTGCACCTTTGTTAAAACCCAAAGAACGATATTCTAAATATGGATACAGTTATATAAATTTCAACTCCTTAAGATTGATATTAAAAGAGGGCTGGATAGTTGACTCAGGGGTTAAGAGCACTGGCTGCTCTTGCAGAGGACCTGGGTTCGAGTCCCAACACCCACATGTGGCTAACAATCATCCTTAACTCCAGTTCCTGAGAAATTTGATGCCCTCTTCTGACTTCCATGGCATTGCATGGCACAGGTGTACTTATATACAGGCAGGCAATATGCTCATACACATAAAATAAAAAATAATAAATTTTTAAAATTTGACTAAAAGTCACTAATTTCTTCTTAGTAATATACTCTATTGCAACATCTAAAATGCAAAGTCTAATACTCAAAATGGTACATGACTATATGGAAATAGAGTCTCACAGTCTCCTGGGACTTTGTGCATATGAACTTATAGCAATGTTGTCAGCATGTATAAGACCCATGCAAACTCAAACAGAAAATAAACCCAGCATAGAACTGTAGTAATGGGCAACAGGCGCTAATACTAGCTGAAGAACTACTGGGCAGCTGATCACTGCTGGATGAGGGAGAGTTGATCTTCTTTAAGGGAGTGACTCTAGAGAGGCTGACTAGACCCCAGTCAATGAACTTGCACTGAGGGACATCAGGGGACACTAACTTGATTTAATAGGCCTGAACATAAATGACAGATGCATGAAATCCAGTGGGGGGGGTATGGCAGGGGGCCAATGGGGAAGGGGTATAAAGAGGACTAAGATGTTGTGCATAAAATACACAAAAATTCAGTAAAAATACATTAAAAATAAAGTCTTAAAATGCCACTTATAACAGAATTGACATCATATAGAGAGAACGATTATACTTAAACTTTGTATTATTTCCTTGGTAGAATACAGTCATCATAATGTCACCTACCAAGAGTACATTGCAACTTCCAGATACATATTGGATATTACATTCAATGAAAATAAAACAGATTTAAAAACATTGTGTTTTCAGCTACATCAGAATTAAGTATTTTCTTAAGTATAAAATATAAAAAGTTGAGGCTGGAGAGATGGCTCAGCAGTTAAAAACACTGGTTGTTCTTGCAGGAGACCTGGGTTCAAATCCCAGCACCCACATAGCAGCTAACAACTGTCTGTAACTCCAGGCCCAGGGGATCTGATGGTCTCTTCTGACCTCCTTGGCCATTGCACAACACGGGTGCACTTACCTACATGCAGGCAACACACGCATACACATAAAATAAAAATAACAAAAATTTTAAAAATATATAAAAAGCTATACAGCAAAAAACTAAGAATGTTTTTTCTAATTTCTACTTTTAAAGGTTTTGAAAGAGACTATTTCATACAATGAGAAAAAAGAAAACTAGAAAGAAGAGGAAAAATAGGTTGTAGTTTCAGAAACTGTGGCATTTTGCAAGATCAGAGTGTTCCGGCCCAGGGTAATAGCAGTAAAAGTGAATGCTAGTTGTTAGCAATGGGCCAGTGTACTCTAGAGATGCCCAAGGGAGAGGGTGTTCTGATGATAATAAGAGGTACCCGTTATCTAAGGTAGGAGCGAAGCCCTGGATTGGGGGCAGAAAGCACACAAAAGGTTAAGCATCCTTCTTGCAAGTCTCAATTCGCAATTTTAAGTCTTCAAGAAATTTTCCAGTTTCTAGTGTGTCTCCTGAGTGGGCCAACTTATGGGGGAAATGATGCCTGGTATCCATGACTGACCCAAGAGTAGAGCCATGCCTTTGCCTCGGGGAGGACGACTTCACTGACAGCCTGAGTTTTACTTCCACATTGTTCTATCTGCGTGAGAAAGATCTATGAGGATAGATCAGTCCCGGGTGATGCATTATGTCAGGTTCATAAACTTAATGTCCAGAACCTACTTGGTCTATAGTAATTTGCAGTCATAGTTGCAAAAATTCTCCTGATGCACTGCCTTGTTGACAGAGATAGGTTTTCAACTCCTGCTGATACATGTTGAGCCTCTGCAGTGCAGTCTGACTCACATACAAGGCCTTTGGGGAGTTCATACTCACCAATACTTTGTCCATCATCCCAAAACATCTGACCTTCAGCCTTCTCATTACCATCCAAAGCAACAGTCAATCCCATATAATTTTGTCGGCTATAAAAAAAAAGTCATTTTTTTACTCAAGGTTGTAAGAATGAAGAACATCTTTTATTGAAAATAATACTTACCTAGAAATAAAAATCAATGTATTAAATATGTACATAACATTACAAAAATTCAGTGAGATAGAATACAAGTATCAGTCAACAGAAAGTCATTTAAAGTTTAATGAAACATTTAGTTTAACGTTAACTTTCAGAACTCATATGCATACTTTCCAACATACCTATTAACAATAGTATGGTGTGATATGAACTCCACAATAAGATAACGCAAGAGAAAACAGCACTTCAATAGCCTTCATTACTACACAGAAAAATCCAGACTACTTAGGATGCCATTCATAACCTTCCATAATTTAACTCTAACCTGCTTGAATTTTATTTAGCCAACCCAGTTTTCACTTATTTCTTTAACCCTCCCAGAAAATCTCTCCTTGTCTTTCTATTTAAAACTCAGCTGAGGGCTCTCTTTCATGTAAACTATGCTTTCCATCACTGACTGAAAGTAAACTTCTGTTTTATTTGTTTTTGTATACCTCTCCACATACTTTCCTTAATGAATGTGTGTGAGTGTGTGTGCGTGTGTGTGTGTGTGTGTGTGTGTATTATGAAAACTTTTTTTTTTAGTTCAGTGAAGTCTGTCTGGTAACAAGCGCTACATGCCTGAGCACTCATTAAAAATCAAGGTACTCATTAATAATGCCCTCCTCTTTTAATGATGTGGAAAAGAAACAGGAAAATTTGTGCTCAGGATTATTGTGCTCTTGACACAGCACCACGGGAAAAGAACTCCCCGCAATTGACTCCAAGAATTGTCTTCCTCCAATCCTATCAGAAGGCACTCATAGAATCCAACCAAACTCCTTTGCAATTTGGTTTAGATGCAGTTTGGTTTGCTCACCCACATAGGCCTGGTAAAGGGCCAGGTAATAAAACGCTGCCTCTTCTTACCTGAAGTGAGTATTTATTGTAGGCTCCTGCCAAGGCAGGATGTAGCCTCCTCTGACATGAAGGTTGATGTGGTCCAGAGGAGCCTTCAGTGCTTTCCACTCACCTTTGGACTCTTGGCCTGATTCCTAGAAGGAAGCACTCACATAAGGAATGATGACAGGTAAACAGATTAAGTACATGTTTTACTAAAAGGTTTTCCTAAGTAAACATGTCGGAAAATCAGCAAAGTGCACTGTAAATGTAGAGAAAAAACGGTCTTTGTTTATCATTTTTCCTCAAGCCTCTGGAAACCTTGCATTTTCCATGTATCTCCAGAAAGGGTGTGTGGTGGGCACCAATGAGATGGAGGCCGTCAGATGTTATCTATGCTTTTATGAATAGCCTCATTTATAAAAAACCTTGCAGGGTTGAAAAAGTTGGAAATCACTGCCTCATGGACTGGGAAGTCAAGAGAAAGTTCTAGCCACCTCTTTAGAGCCTACCCTGCACAGCACAATCTGGTTCTTCCCCCAGAATAGCCATACTTACCGTGCTATAGTCATACCACAGGGCTTGTGGGAAATAAGCATTGATCTCAAAAGTGTTCTGAAATATAAAATCCATATGTTACTATGAATATTCCAACAGACAAACAATTTTGTCTTTTAAAATAATTTCTATAGAATTAAGACAAAAATAGAATTTTATTAGCAGCATCAAGAATTTGAGAGTTTTTAATTTTTTATTGAATTTTTTGTGTATTCCATACAGAACATCTCAAACATCTTAATCATCTTCATACCCACGTCCCCACTGGCACCCTCCCAATGCAACCTCTACATCTAAGAATTTGAGAGTTTTAATGAATAAGCTTTGAAAATTCTTCTTCAAGTATACAGAAGAATAAAATAAATTAGTAAATTATAAAAGGATACAGGGTCACCAGGATTCCAAAGTGAGAAATCAATGTTGAGAAATTTTCTTTAATACATAAATTAAAGCTAAAAATCTCCTTTATATGTTCTATAAAGTTATTTGTTTGAAAACATTGAGATAAAAAAAGATAATCTTTAAAACTTTTTCCTGGGACTATTGAAATGCTCCGTGAGTTAAGGGGTTTGCCACCAAGCCTGACAACCTGGGTTCAGTCCATGGAGCCTACGTAGTAGGAGAGAACTAATGCCTGAAAATTGTACTTTGACCTCTGTCAAAGTACACACACACACACACACACACACACACACACGCAATAATTTCAAAACTAAAATTTTTCTCCTGTGGCTTTTAATTATGTGGTTTAGAGAGGTCCTGATCTATGATGAGAAACTCACACTTTCCAGCACGGGGCTGATAAGGATGGCTGGGCCCAACATAAACTGACGGTCTATATCCCACGTCACACTGTCATTAGTGAACCTGAAAAGTCAAACATGAAAAACTCATCCCCAAATATTGCACAGAGCTATTTATAAGACATGCTCAGACCCACTGCATTCAGAAAGAGGCAGCACTCACTCATGGAGAAGTGGTCGGATGACAGTGCTCCCCTCTGTGTGAGCTTTATGCATCAGGGTGTAGAGGTAAGGCAGCAGGGTGTATCTAGTATGCAGCACTTTTCTTGAGTATGCCTCAAAGTCTGAATCCCAGGACACAGGATCTTGTCTCTAAAGAGGTAAGCAAGCGTGTAACAGATCAGCTCTTCTTTAATCCATCTTAATGATTTCAGAAAGGATCTCTGGGCACTTAGTCAATATATTTCACATACTATTTCCCTATCTCTAGCCGGCCCCGCCCCCACCACCTAGAGCCAATGCTCCTCTTCATCACTGATTCTCAGGTTCCTTGCACAGGTCTGCCTTTGGCTTTGTTCACATATAATGTCTCTACGCAGCCCAGATATATCAGAGAAGGTTTGAGTAAAACACAAATTCAGTATTTTTTAAAGCAAAGGGGACTTTTATATTTAGCTTCATGGGAGAGCTATCAAAATGTCTCTCTTCTTGGCAACAATGCCCCCAAGAGATGAGGAAATCTTTATTCTTAACAGTTACTGATAACTCTGGAATTCTGAACTTGGAGGCTATTCCAAGAAATGGAATGATGAAAACTTTTCATTAATGTATAAATTGAGAGTCTTTTGTCGAAAAGTAAGAGTGACAGACACCCATGATTTCAAAAGCAGCGGTGATTTGATAGTTGTATGAACAATGGCTGTCTTACCCTGGTCCCAGCAGTGTTATGATTCCTGGAAAATGGATAAAATGCTCCCAATTGCATCCAGCGAATACACATCTCATATTCAGCATTTCCGAAGAACCCACAAATGTCTGCTCCTGTCTGAGAAGAAGCAAAATCAGAGCATTAACTGGGTACTCTCTTAGGATGTACACACATACACTGAAATTCAGGTAATCATTATTGGCCTTGATGTGACTTACATACGGTATTCCAAAGAGACTGAACTCCATCATGCCTGCAACAAGACAAGACAGCACTCAAAGCTTTGGACAGTTCATGATGAACATATTAAAAGACAGGTATAAACTAAGACTCACATCCACAGAACCTCAGCATCTGTTGATTTTACTGCCACCTAGATGATAATCTAAATACATATTCTAGTGCCACTCCTACCCCCAGAAGAGATCCCTGGGAGCAACCCACTCACCAATGATAGATTTCCCCAGCTGGTCCCAGGCAGCTGTGTTCTCTCCCAGCCGGTGTCCTCCCCAGCGGCCAGAAGAGGGGAACGTGGAGCGGGTGATGATGATGCCTTGCTGTCCTGTCACCTCCTGCACAGCTCTGGTTGGAAAGAACAAGGAGGTGAATTTGAAGAGGGGCAGCTGTGGAACTTCACTATAGAAAGGTGTTCCAATTTGGAGCATGAGGCTGTAGTGCTGCTCCATTAAGAGTTAGATTATTTCTTCCAGGAACAACTCTGCTACCTAAAGTGATGGTAAGAATCCAAACCAGCTTCACAGCAGGGTGGCAAGAAAGATAGCTGCATACAGAGTAAAGTTTTCTTTTTTTAAGATTTATTTTTAATTGTGTGTGTGTGTATGTGTGTGTGTGTTTTAAAATTATGTTTGTGTGTGTGTGTGTGTGTGTGTGTGTGTGTGTGTGTGTGAATATGGGCGACTTTGAAGGCCAGAGGTGTCATATCCCTTGGAGCTGGAGTTACAGGTGGTTGTGAGCCACAAAACATGGGTGCTGGGAACACAACCTAGGTCTTCTGAATGAGCAGTACGTACTCTTAACCACTGAACCATTTCTCCAGTCCCAAGATGTCATTTGTAAAAGACCTAATTAACTGGTTAGCTATGGAGCAATCATATATACCAATAGCACATCGATTTCACATATGTCATTGCACATCTCTATGACGGCGGCTTCCCTGTGCTCCTTTTGCTGTTAGGAAACCAAGACTCAGGGATGTTATCAAAGATCATTTAAGGACTGAGAAGTTGAAGGTGAGATAATAGTACATATTTTTTTGGTATTATAAACTCTGCTATACTTCAAAGAGCAAGACGTTTTGTGCACATAGACAAAGATATGTATATATATCATAAAAATGAATAAATAAAACTATATGAGAGAAAAATCAGAGGAGAAAAGGAAGACGTCTATTAACAGATCCTAGTATGCTTTCAGTATAAATGCTTGCTTAAGAAAGCATCACAAATCAGTGGACAAAGATGGGTGACTGATCATACACTGAGTGTGGGCCCAGGTCCCACAAGGTGGCAGGAAAGGAAACTCACAATAGTTTTCTTCTGACCTTCACAGGTGCACCATGGCATACATGTACACAGACACACACAGACACACATGAATAAATAAATAAATAAATAAATAAATAAATAAATAAATAAATAAATAAATAAATAAATAAATAAATAAATAAATAAATAAATAAATAAATAAATAAATAAATAAATAAATAAATAAATAAATAAATAAATAAATAAATAAATAAATAAATAAATAAATAAATAAATAAATAAATAAATAAATAAATAAATAAATAAATAAATAAATAAATAAATAAATAAATAAATAAATAAATAAATAAATAAATAAATAAATAAATAATATTAAAGAAGCAAACAAGACAAGATCTCTGTCTTTAGTCAGGTGTTTAAGAAGAGAGAACCATCAAAATACAGGTCATACTATGTGATCACTAGTTAAGAGAATGGGAAGAGTAAAAGGAATAGACCAGTCTAAGAAGCTTTCATGGAAGAATAGATGTAAGCTGGGCTTTATTGTGCATGCTGAAATGTCGGCCTAGTCAAAGTCAGTATGACCAGCATGTGTGATTGGCAAAGTGGGACACATGAAGATGTATGGGAAGAAAAGAGTTGTAATACATTATACGTAATTCTTTCAAACAACCTAAACTTTAAGGGCAATTGAAAGATTAGAAGGCAGTTTAAGGAGGTTAAAGGCAAAGTCATCTTGAAATGCTGATTAAAAGGAGGAAGGAAAAGAAACGCTGATAAATTTTACCAAGTGCTTCTAATACACCAAGTATTTGTGGATTCATTTTATCATTTAGTTGTCATGACAGCACTAGATGCTATGATGTCCCCAGTTTGAAAAAAAAAAAAAAAAGCTAGCTAGTAAGTGTCCTTGTGACTGTGAACCACCAAGCTAAATCCAAGGCCCAAGTTCTAAACCAATACACCAGGGGAAAGGAACGAAGCAAAGACCGTCCGTGGAAGATCATTTGTAGAGTAGGCTTCCCTGAAGAAGGAGATGAAGATGGGGATGTAGAAGAAGAGGCTTCCCTGAGAAGAGAAGAGGGGATGGAGATGTGGAAGATGAGATGTCCCTAAAGAGGGAGGAGAGGTAAGGGGGAGGGTAAGAGAGACATCTGAGAACAAAAATTCTCAGAAAGAAGCTCGGTCTTCAAACTGAACCTCCTGCAGGGCTGATGCACTAATTATAACTTCAATGGTTGTGGAGTGTTTGAACTGTTGCAAGACCAAACTGAATTATCTTGGGCCATCTTTAGTCCCCTTGACAGCCATTTTTTGCCCCCCTCTGTACATGACCTAACTGCTTTGCGACAAATAGGTAAATCATTTGGAACACATAAACAGAACACTAGTTTTCCTTTGAAACGTATTAACTCAGCAGACCACTAGCTTTCACCAACCCACAAGCTCAGAGGGTCAACAGAGAACATCTGGGACCTATATAGAGGTTTCCCTGCTTTGCTGAGCCTGCCTCTTTCATGTCTCCACCAATGTATTTGAACAGTATCTTGATTTATGACTTTCTTTGTCCTGTTACTATAAAAACTTCATGAAACTTTTACCACATTGAAACATGGAATTTAAGGTGACCCAAATCTGTGTTCCCAAGCCATGGCCACTCATTCTTGGCTCCCAAATAAACTATCTCTTATTGACTTTGAGCTGAGAGTTGTGTTTTATGTCAATGAACTCAAGCAAGATTTCATGATTTTTTTTTTTTTTTTTGGTGCTGTGTTTTGTGCTCAGCAATCCCCTTCTGTGTCAAGGGAAAATTCCTTTTCCTCTTATTCTATGAAGTTTTCCTGGATTATTCCAGTTCATTACTTTTCCTTTTCACTGTTTTGCTGTTCCAAGCAGATGAGGGCTCCTTGAGAGCAGGGATTATGTCTTATTCATTCTCAAGTAGGTCCGAGATAAAGCTACCCTTGAGGGTATAAGGTATCTCCTTGTTTTTTATGCATTCCAAAAAATGTGATTATTTTCTTAAGAACCAGTTTCTGCCTGGTCAGAGGAGCCTCAGGCTGGATGAATGAAGCAAGATCACAAAAGAGCAACTGAAAACCAGAGAAGCAAGTAGGACAGTGAAGCCAAATATTAGGGGGAAGACCATGTTATCCTTCGAGTGCACCACCTCACCTGTGGATAAGCCATAACAGAATACTCAAGATCCCTGTAAGCTCCAGGAATGGGAACAGAGGACAGAAGGATGAGGTGCCTTGACTGGAAATCACCACAGAAATAGAAAGGGGAGGGGATTTAAACACCATCAAGCTATATTGTATGAAAATTGAAAAAATTCAATAAGAAAAAGAATTATAAATTATTAACAAAGAAACCAAATAGACATTTTGGAGTTGACAAATAATCGAGTTTAAATAATTCTTTAGAGAAACTGGATTCAGTATCAAATCCGAGCTGGCAAAAGGAAGGATGAACAAAGTTAGAAACAGGTCAATAGTAATAGCTTATAGACCAGAAAGAAAAGATAAATGAACAGAGCCTCCTCACACCTGGGAAGCACAAGAGCATCTACACACACTCAGTGGAGATCTCCCAAGAAAGGAGAAAGGGTAGAAAAACATTTAAAGAACAATGACCCCAAACCCGTATACTTAAAGAAAAATTATTGTTGAAAGAACTTGAAGATTTTAGAAGACCGAAAGCCATCCCACAATACTGTTATGACAACTCTTCTGCAGTTTTCTGTGGATTCAGTGTAATCCATTAAAACTCCTATTGATATTTTGTAGAAATTGAGACACTGACCCTAAAAGTCATATCAATTGCAAGCTAGAATAACTAAAACAGTCTTGAAAAGGGTAAACAAAGTAGGAAGATTCATTACTCATGAATGCAGGCAGTGTAGCACTATAGAGACGGAGATGCACAAGCTGGGCACATTGGTACATGCCTACAACCCCAGAACTCACTCAGGAGGCTGAGGCAGGATTGCTGCAAATTCAAGGCCAGATTAGACTAAATAGCAAAATCAATAGAATAGAATTGAGTCCATAAATAGTTCCTCAGTCGTTTACTGTTGGTGATAAGGCTACTAGATGAGAAAACGAACTAGAGATCTCCGTGAAAAAGAATGAAATCAAATCTCTAATACAGCACACAGAGATTAACTTAAAATGAATCAAAGACCTAAAGGTAAAAAACATAAAATTCTTTAAGAAAGCAGATACTGAGCACGGTGGCACATGCCTGTAATCCTGGCATGTGGAAGGCAGAGACAGAAAGATCAGGAGTTGGGGAGCAGCCTGAGCTACACAGTAAGTTCCAGGTCAACTTGAGCTGCCTGAGGTTCTGTCTAAACAAACCAACAAACAAATGAGAAATAAATCTTTATGACCTTCAGTAATACAATTGGTCGTTTTTCTGTTTTTTTGGGTTTTTTTGTCTTTGTGAGACAGGGTCTCCCTGTAGCCCCAGCTGGCCTGGAACTCACTATGTAGACCAGGCTTGGTCTCAAACTCACAAATTTCCACCTGCCTCTCCCTCCCAAGTGCTGGGATTAAAGGCATGCACCACCATGCCCAGCACAATTGGTTTTTTATATGATACCAAATAAATTAATTAGTAAATAATAGTACTTCCTAATATATATATATATAGGCATATCATGGTAGAATCAGAGACAGTCTATAGAATAATAGAAAATGTTTGCAAATCATGAATCTAACATGTAACAGATAACAGCTTGTATCTAGGATATATAAACATTGCAAATCATGTTCTAAAAGTATATTTTAGTGATGGCTGCACAATACCCTGAATATACTGTAGCACCTCCTAACAGCTTTAGATAACTGAGTTTAGCCATTTAAAGTTAAATGTACTTAAGAGATATCGTGTTTGGTTAATCAGGCCAAGTATTTTGAAATTTATCCATTTAACTTGCATTATATAAGCGCAAATCCAGTGCAAACACAAAGACAGTAACAATGTGAGAAATTGTATTTGGTGCGAGTAACATAAACATACTCACTCGTAGGTGGGTCTAGTCTGGGACCACCCGTACAGGCTGTGCACATCGTAGTGCCGCATGTGGGAGCCGTTAGGCAGGATCTGCTCACCCTCCATGCACAGGGTCTTGCTGCTCAAACCTTTATCCCTGGATTCCAAATCTGGGGCGGAAATGTTGAGTTATTTCCCAAACAGCTTCATTTGCATGATAAATGGAAATGTCCGCTGTGTCAGCATTTCTTTATTTTGATCAATGCCTCCCCTACCAGTAACAGGTCTACTTTCCTGAGTGTTTCTTATGTACAAAAGCAGTACTTTGTGACCTAATAATTAATGGATGCTAAGAGGCGAGTGTGAGCTGCACAAAGCATCGTTTTTGCTCCCACTCTAACTTACTGTGCCGTCAGCCCATTTCTCAACGTTTTTGTTGTTAGGACTGTTTCTTCCGCTAGATGGTAGTGTTCTCAAGGGAACAGCTCTTGTTTCAACTAATTCTGTATCAGTGTTTCTAGATTTGGCAGCATTTGCCTGGCACATAAATACTACAGTAGGAGAGGACAGAGTGAACAAAAGAATGAAGAGAAGAATTAATTAATTAACTAATTAATTAATTGGACAGTGAGCAACAGTCCACATAGCAGTGAACAGACATTCAGAAATTTGAGTTCTAGACTACTGGTACAGTGCTTTTAGGAACTTAATTCCTTGGGCCTCTGTGTGATGAAATGACTCAAGATTCTGAGGTCTCGTTGATCTCAGTCTCCTATTTCAGTTTCTAGGACAGTGATTATCAAGGATTATCTTTCATGAAGTGTCTGGACATGGGCAATGCATTTAGAGACTAAGTTTTTGTTTTCTGATCAAAAGCACCTATGTGGTGTGCTTGTATGTGTCTGTGTAGGTGTGTGTATATGTGTATACAGAAATGTATTTAAAATTGTGTCAATCAGTTCATAGTTATCAATATAATCAAGTGTTTTGTCTGGTTTCCTTTATAATACATCATCATGTGATTATCTCTATACCTGTTTACTAACAATAATTTGTACATAATCAAAGTAGCTCTATTTGGGATTTTATGTCATGTTGAGCACATATTCACCCCTCCTGTGCAAAAAATTTGGCTTCATTTGAGAATTAAAAGGAAAGAGCATCTTGAGCAAGAAAGGAATTGGAAAATTAACCTTCTACATACATGGCATGTAAGGCGGGTTATTAAGAATCTCACTGCGGCAGCCCCCAACAGATCCATCCACAAAGTTTGATGGTTCATTCATGTCCTGGAACAAGCAAGCAGAGAAAAGGTCATGTCAGGGGCAACATGTCCTTCACTACACAAAACACTAAAATCAAGGAAATGACCACGTGTGTTGAAACCCTTGGCTGGTGACTCCACATCTTCTGCTTAATCCTTGGTTGGATTGAAAGACTCTCCGGACCCAGGTCAGGGAGTGGAGCGAGAAACTCCTTCCAGGTTCCCTGGCATCTTTTCAAATTAATGAGGTTTAAGAAAAAAGATGAAATGGACCTGGACTCAAGGAAATATCTTTTGGTTTTCTATCCACGGATTGTTTACTTTGTATCTGTAGCCTGTGGTCTCTAAGATCTTCCTCTACCCTACCTTAGGACTAAAGCCTGAACTGGTTCTAACATTGAACACAAGGAGAAAGTCTCACTCTGCTGTAGATACACTCTGAACAATTGTAATAACTCAGAAACAAACCTGGAAATAAAATCATACATCAGTGAATGAATAATCAAGTATAAGGAACGGAGGCCCTTAGAGGATGCTCATTAGAAAAATATCAATAGAAAAACTAAAATTTAATTTTTGTTCTATTTTAAACAATACTAAAAGCTAAGGAAACATTTGGGAATTAGTAATTATTTTGGCTTACCCAGCGAAAATTCTTTTCATATTTGCACAGACATATCACAGTTTCAGAATTTTGTCTTCTTCAAAGTTCCCCCTTCACTGTCCGAATTTCCGTTTTGGGTTAATTTATGCCCTACCACATACCCACTCTGTTCCTGTCTATCCTGAAAGTGCAAGTGACCAGTGAGGACACAAGGAAGCCACAGGAATTAGAGCTTCGGGTCTATACAAACTGTGAACCTTTTCCATCTTGTCCCAGGGCTGAGCAGCTCTTTACAGCTAGCCTAGAACTTTCTTAGTATGCCAGGGAACTGGAGGATGGGGAAAGAAACCATAACATTGGTGCACTTCCTCCCACTCCTAGAAAAATACAAATGGAGGAGCCCTTGGACATGTCCCAGAGACATCTCAAGAATCTCTGCTCTGAAGGTCAGCTACCTGTGTGACACAAAAATGTACAGACTAAATTGTTGATTTTATTTTCTGTTTATTTGTTTTATTTTTGAGACAAGGTCTCCCTGTAGCTTCAGCTGGCCTGGAACTTGCTATGTAGACCAGGCTGGCCTTGATCTCACAGAGATCTCTGCCCTGATGAACAGGCTTTTTAAGATACTCTCTCAGGGACTAGTAATGCCTCTTGGCTCCTAAATTCATGCCTTGTTCACTTCCAGGTCTGTTCTATCCTGTGGGGATGTGCTTGCAGGATTCTGGGTGGGAACATTGGAAAGAGGTTGGAGGATTGGGAAAAAGAGATGCCAGAGTGTTCTTCCATGTTCTGAAATGCTCATTAGTTGGTACACTTCCTCAGTGGGCTTCAACTTCCACAAGACAGGATGTCTCTAGGTAAAGCCACAATAATCTCTCCTATTCCTGGTCTCAGAACCTACATTTTCTCCCTTTTGCCCATCTAGTCCTACCTAGCTCCCTGCTTTAGTCTGTGGGCTGCCTCCCTAGGATTTGACTGCTTGCATGTTCAAAGAACTCAAGGCGTACTTACAATCCACAGGCCATCGAATTTCAAGCTCTTCTCTGGCTCCCAAGGGTTTGTATAGAGCTCTTCTATCTCCTTCTTCCACCATGCAGCTGTGCTGGTACGCAGGAAATCAGGAAAAGCAACATAGGCCTTGTACATCTGGAAGAGTAACACAGGCTCCCATCATAAGGTTTTCCCCTACCCAGGAATGGGAGTCCTAGGGCCAGAAGGGGAGGCGACAAAGTATTCAGCACTGTCCAGCTCCCACCTCAGTCTCTGACCTAACCTCAGAGATTAGAATAGTCACAGAGGCAGTTGGGAGTGGGGGGTTAATTTTCTTAGGAAGAGGTTAGGTAGATTGAAAGTCCTTTTTAAACACAAGACTTGTTTTATGATTAGATATTTACCATGGAAAACAGAAAATTAATAGTACCTAACTGTGGGATTATAAAGATACATTGGAGTTTTGTAGATAGGCCAAACCAAAAAGGGCCTGCCATCCTGGGAAAACAAGATACATGTGACTAAGTGTGTAAGTGTCGGGCTTGATATGGCATTAGGCCCCAAGATCAAGGCCTTTGCTTCTTTCGGCTGGCTAGTATTGCCTTTGATCCTTGGGCATTTTAGGCTTTCATTCATTATTTTTCAAGCAACATTATATTTGAATCACAGCCTATTGAAGGTATACACATGAGGAATTTCATTGATAGTTTTCTACCTGTGTGTTTCCATTTTAGTTGTTAGAGTTTTCGTTTGGAGATTTCTTTCTGCTAAAAATGACCAGCAGACAAGCACACTCATGTTAGAGCTACTTAAGCAGAACTAGATAAGCTACTCATCCATCAGGATTGAACATACAAACATCCAGATGTTTAGGGCGATACCGACAAAATTCTGCTAGCTATACCTTAACCTGAGTCTCATGGTCAAGGGATTCATCCACATTCACATTGGGCAGCTCTGGCAAAGCCTAGAGAAATGAGAAACATCAAAACTTTTAAAAGTCATTACATACAGACCATGATATGTTTTACATACTAAGCTCTAATGAGACATGTCTCCACAAAATGCCAGGCAGTTTTTTTCACAAATTAAATTGTGAAAGCTGAATGTATGCACAGGTGACATTGGCTGGAGTTTCTAGACATATGCCGCGTTTTCATAATTTTGAATTTGAGTAATTAAGTTAATCTTAAATGTGTCTTCTGAATAATCATCATTCAAATGATTATCCAACTCTGATCTATCTTTTTTAACCTATAACAAAATTATCTTTATAAATAATAAATGTGAGGTGAGATACAGAAGCAACTGATTCATGGTCCACCTCTGTGTCCCGATCCTTCCCAGACACCTCCTAAATTCCCATCTCATCACACACCCTCTCCTCGGGCCTTGTAGTTCCATAACCTTATTCTCAATATTTTTAAGTAATATCAATGCTTCTTCAGAAGACTGTGTGGCACTAACAATTCATAGTTTTAACTAATATCATTTGTAATTAGCAATTCATTAATTAATATACGCTGACTAATTCATCAACCAGAGAACATTTAATGAGCACTTACTATCTGTGAAGCATATAGGATGAGGATTGGGGTCACAACAGAGAATTCAAAGGGACGAGAAAAATAATTTGTGACTTCTTAAAAGTCTGATTAAGCATCATTGATCAAAGGCAAACATGTTTTGAATTTATATGGTAGAAACACAGATCTCAGGCTTGCTTTCTAGGGGTTTCTTCAGGTTTATTTTAAAACCTGCCTGCCAAGTGTAGTAATGATTTTTAAAATATGGACATACCCTGTACAAATGACTTTTACTTAATCTTGCAGCCAAAACATTAATCCTATCTTGTTTATGTAAACAAGCCTACTAGGCCTTGAGGTCTTCTTGTAACCTAAACAGAGGGCTAATTCCTCATGACCACTCCTTGTCTGGACCTGGAATACTGTATATACTGTGTGTGTATATGTAACTATCAAAAATCAAAGAAAATATGAAGATTTGTCCATTGTTTTATTATTTTTATTTTATGTGTATGAGTGTATTGCCTGCAAGTGTGTAAGTGCACTTATGTCATGCAGTGCTTATGGAGTCAGAAGAGGGTATCAGATCCCCTGAAAATGGAGTTAGAGACAGTTGTAAGCTGCCAGGTGGGCACCAGGAGTCGAACCCAAGAACAGTCAGTGCTCTCAGAATCAGACTGTCTTTATTAAGGAATAACAGTAATATTAGCAAAGTAAATATCTGGACCAAGTATGAAATGTAAGAATATCAGAATATTTTTCTAGGCAATAATGCAGCCTTGAGTATTTTAGAGAATTAGAACTGCAACTTTGGTCTTAATGCCCAGTTAACTTGTTAGCAACTGAAAGGTTTCTACTCATTCAATAATGTATTAATTACCTAGCATATATTTCCAAAATTTATAGAAATCTATAGTGCAGTAGATTAACTACCGGCATCTTTCCCAAGCCTTACCTTTCCCCAGACAATGTCATTGGTGTCAGGCCATTTGATGAACACGTTCTTTTCTTGTCCTCTAGTGAATGTGAGATAGTGTGTCTCATTGCCAGAAATGGCTGGGTCCTGTGGTGAGAAGTTTAAAACCACAAATATCAGAAAAATACCTCCATGAAAATTCCTCTCCAGGCACTGGATAATCCATATTACAGAAAGAATTAGTGGTCCAAGAAGTAATACTAAATGAATAAAAACTCATGGATAATTCACCTTTACTAACTTTCCACAAGTATCTAAAGGAAGACACTTAATTCTTTTAAAAATATAACTAGGTTTTATTTATTTATTTTTGTTTAATGTATATGGGGGTTTTGCCTGTATGCATATAAGTGCGCCAGTGTATGTAATGCCCAAAGAGGCCTCAAGAGGGCATTGTATCTCTTGGAACCAAAGTTATAAATGGCTGTTAACCACCATATTAACTGCTGAGTCATCTCCCCAGCCCCAAATGTTTAGTTCTTTAGAAGGACGATCATGGGGCTGGAGAGATGACTCACTGGTTAAGAGCACTGGCTGCTCTTGCAGAGGACCCAGGTTCGGTTCCTAGCACCCACATGGAGGCTAACAACTGTGCTAACTCCAGTTCCAAAGGATCCAATGCCCTCTTCCGACCTCTGTGGGTACTGCACAACACAGGTGTACTTATATGCATGCAGGCAATACACTCATACACATAAATTAAAAATAATATTTTTTTTTTACTAAAAGAAAGGGGAGGGAGAGATGAGAAGTAAAAGAATGTATTGACACCAGCCATAAAATTACTAAGGAAAAAAGTATGGTTATATTTGGAAAACAATCTCCTGAGTTAAACCAGTTTAGTAAGACAATTATAATTGGTTTAATGCCTTCAAGTGAAGAGGCCATTCCCTGCATTTATATTAGATAATAGCAATACTCCTTAGGGAAATGAAACTTCTTTATTCTATTCTGTGGCCTAGCTTACCCATCTAAAGTGGCCAAACTGCTCATTATCATTGCCCGCCCCAACTCATCTTTATTTTATGCTGTCTCACAACTGTCATGCAAAGCATCATTGTTTAAAATTATATTTTTAATACTTATTGATTGATTGCCTTCCACCATTGGAATAAATAATTTCTTAAAAAAGAAGATTGTTGTTAATTTAGAATCATTCCTCCCACATACTAGTTCTAAGCAGTGATTTGCAAGTCAGTGTTCAACAAAGACTTGAGTCAATGAAAGGACAAAAGTCATACTCTGAAAGTTAGAAGACTCATTTGCAGCTAACTAGTAAACTAGTATTCTGGGATCTGTTTGTGGGCTTAACAGAGGGGAGTAAAGCCATCCAAGTGATGATGCCAAGAAGGTTTGACACCCTCTTCCTCCCTAGGAAGCCATGAGACCCAACACAGCTGTATCTCCGAGGCACAGCCTGAAGCAATGACAAATTTTGTTTCCCACATTCGGTGTTTCCTCCCATGTTCTTCTAACTCAACCAAGAGAAAAGCAGTCATAACTTGCAACCCAGTGACACTCAGCTATAAAAATGGTAACAAAGTTTTGCCTCTCAAAAGACATTTTTATGCGGGGCGTGGTGGCGCACACCTTTAATCCCAGCACTTGAGAGGCAGAGGCAGGCTGATCTCTGTGAGTTCAAGACCAGCTTGGTCTACACAGTGAGTTCCAGGACAGCTGGGGCTACAGGGAGACCCTGTCTCAAAAAGACCAAAAAAAAAAAAAAACAGGGAGACCCTGTCTCAAAAAGACCAAAAAAAAAAAAAAAAGTTCACAAGAAGCTTCGAAAATGTGCAAAGACGTTTCACCTAGCCTTCAACTTTTCCCAGTGGTATTATTTTGGAACCATAAACACAGAAGCCAAAAGATATTGAGTCTGTCTTAACACCTACCAGAACAAGAATAAATCTCATGCCATTTGTCTTCATTTCGTCAATTACATGACTGAGGTTTTGAAAGCTGGGGCTGAGGGTGAAGTCCAGCTTCCGGTCCATGTAATCAATGTCTACATGCTGGACATCCTACAAGAAGGATCAGGCAAGATGCTCAGGGTCCTGCAGCAGGTGCCCTGCAGGTACACTAACTGCTCCGCAGGCCCCACCCCTGCTTTCTGACCCAGCCCAGGCCCCTCCTAAACTCCATCTCATTATACTCCCCTATACAGGCTTTTCTGTGCCACAGGCTGAAATTGCTTTCTAAGTCCCCCTCACAGCTCACTTTCCCACATTCTTCTCCCACTTCTTTAACAACTGCTCTCTCTCTCCTTTCCATCCCTCAATTCCTATCATTCCCCACTCTTCACATCTCAAACTTGGTGACTCTATCGAAGCACTAATTGCAATGTTCAAGTGATTAAAGTAAAACTCTTCTAACAAGAAAAAAAAAGATTAGGGATCTGAGTGGGGTTTTCATTTCTATAACAAATCTTGTCAAATTTATTTACATTAGCACTATACTGTTTTATTTGGTTATTTTTAATTTATGTATGTGTGTTTATCTCTGTGCATTTTGCCTTGTGTGTCAGAAGAGGGCATTGGATCCTCTGGAACTGGAATTACAAGTGGTTGTGAGCTGCCCAGTGACATGGGTGCTGGGAAATGAATCCCAGTCCCCTGCAGGAGCAGCCAGTGTGCTCTTAGCCACTGCATCATCTCTCCAGTCCCTCCACTGTATCACAGCTTTCTCTACTCGAACCCAGCTGAGGTTCCTGCATAGGAAACTTTCTCAACCCCTAATTGTTGAACAATAGTAAAGTGGTTAATATTCAGATGGAAACGGAATAAATAACATTTCTTTAAAAAAAAATCCCCCAAGTGATGACCACATGCCTTGGCTTAGGACTTTAGAAAAAACTGGTTCAGAGAAACAGAGACTTGTGTGAAAGTCAAAACTAAGACACGAATGTAGCAACATATGGCTAGCACTGATTGCTTTGGTAAGTTAAATCTACAAATTTTTAATCTTGTAATTTTCTTACATGTTCTCATTTCTGTTTAACATGTATACAATAAAATATACATATATAAAGAAAAAATCTTGCATGTATGCCAAATTATCTTTGATAAGATTGTAGTACTTTATTCTCATCTTACAATCCTTAACTGTCCTCCAAAATCTTTTTTTCAATATTTTATTTATTATTTTTATTTTATGTATGAGTGTTTTGTCTACATGTATATAAGTGCACCTCTTGTGTGCAATGCCTACAGAGGCCAGAAGAGTGTGTTGGGTCCCCTGGAACTGGAGTTATGGACGGTTGCAGCCGTCCCGGGTCCTCCAAGAGCAGTCAGTGCTCTTAACCACTAGGCCACCTCTCTAGCCCATCTTCTAAAATCTTAACAAATTAATTAAAATCCAAGAAAGAAAAGGAGAGGCAGAAATGTGATAATCTTATAGAGAGAGAGCATTCCTTATTTATGTGCTTGTTAACAGCAACTAATTAGATTTCTCAGGACTTTCCTGGAGAGCTTGATTGTCACTATGATATGTACATGACCGTGCGTGTTTCAGAGAAAGTGAAGTCTTGACTTTAGCTTCTTTTTATACTGACATTTTATACCCATCTCTCCACAATCCTCATTTCTAAGTTCCCAGAGTCATGGCTTGAACCAAGTTATGACCACCTCGGGGTGTTTTAAATCAGAGAATGGGAGGCAGTGAGTGTCAATATTTTCCAACTTTTCCACTGCCTGTTGAAGGGTAATCATGCAACTTCTGGTTTTGAACCCTGCCAATCAAGGTTTAGTATGCCAAAAGGTAGCATGCAATAAGTTTCCAAGCAATCCATTCTTTAAAAAGCCTTTTACACAACTATGTCCACAACTATGTCCACAACTGCTGTTTTTCGTACTGCAAAAGACTGTCTCCACTGCTTTTTATACTGAAGTAGCCACAGCAGTGATCTGTATGAAGCTGTTTTAATGTACAATTAAGCTAAAATCCAAAGTCTGAGGGAGAGTTCCGTACATAGGGAATCCCAGCTGCCATCATTGCATCATACAAACTGGCTATTTCAGCATCATTTCGATATCCATAGCGACTCAGCTGGAAACCCAGGGACCAGTATGGAGTCATTGCTGGCCGACCAATCAACTAGAATAGAAAAATGCTAATTACATTATTTCATCATTACATATTGTATACATTCTCTTAATTAACATGCTACACCCCACAAGTATTTTAAAAAATATGTCAGTTTAAAAAATGATTTAAGTGAAATAAATTAATGCAACTAGACTTCTTTAGAAAGAAAAACAATTCTACTCAGTGCCAAGAGATCTCACTCCAGATAAGTAAGAAAATCAAATGCAGGACCACTGTGGAGATGAATGACAGAATCATTGTAGTGAAGTTTCCTCCTCTTCCTTAGCCCTGAGAACCCAGTGATTACTCATTAGAGATTCTCCAATAGGTTACTGAGCAAGTAATCAAGAGACACATGGAATACTCTATGTCTTTACACATCATAATATTAAAATCTGACTGTCAGGAAAAATAACAGTACTATAGTGGGGACACTCATGAGCAAAAAGAAAAAAAGAATTGTGCTCAGTGTTAAGAACATGCTATCAATATGCCATAAATACATGGTGATTTATCAGCAGATAGAACGGTTTCCAACCTCAGTGTACTGCTGGGTTACAAGTTCAGGTGTTGGCCCAAGAACCATATAAAAGTCCAAAATCCCTCCTATGGTGCGGTATGTCAGGGCTGGGGTGGGCTGGAGCGTCACATCTGTAAAAATTAGAAAAGCCGATTGGTAAGGAACACAGTAAAGAAAATGTGATTTATACACCAATAGAACTCAAGGTTTTTTTATTACATTTATTCGTGTGTGTGTTTGCTATAGTGCATGTATGGGGGGGTCAGAAGACCACTTACTGGAGTCAAGTCTTTCCTTCCACTTCTGAGTCCCAGGATTCAAACTGAAGAGGTCAGATTTAGTAGTGAGTACCTTTACCCACTGAGCCATCTTACTGATCCATATCCATGCTTTAAAAAGAAGGAAACCAGGGTTAAGAGATGGCTCAGCTGTTAAGAGCACCGACTGCTCTTACAGAGGACTTGGGTTCAATTCCCAGCACCCACATGGTAGCTACGAACTGTCCTTAACTCCAGTTCCAGGGGAATCCAAAGCCCTCTACTGACCTCTGCAGCATTGCACAACACGGGTGCACTCACACACTCACATACATGCAGGCAATACACTCATACACATTAAAAAAAATAAAAATAATAAATATTTAAAAAATAAAATAAATCTTGAATTAATGGGTAAATGAATAAAAGTCAATTTGTCCAGTTCTCCTTGCCCCTGAATTTTCTTGCATCTTGTGATATTCTAGATTCTAACAGGGCAATCACAGCTGTCTCTGGTGGCACATGGGTGGGCATCCTTCTGTCTTACCCATGGCATTGCTGTTCAACAGGAGTACTCCATGGGCACTACCATCTTTTTCCAATGCCAAATAATAGGGATGGACACCATAGGAATTTTTCTTATTCTGGCAATAAAAAAGGATGAGGTGATTATAGAGAATCTAATAAATTGCATCCACATCGCCATCCAAACAGCGAACTCACATTCAGCATAAAAGATTCAACTACCTGTCATGGCCTTCAATGAACCTTCCTTGACCTTGTCGTCTACTCCAAGCAAATATCGGTAACCTCCTCATTCTGTGTTCCTTTTATCATTACATAATTCTATCATAGCATCAATTACATTATTCTATCATTATTCAATACCTATCTCTCTCAGCTTACAAGCTTTTGCAAAGACAGCATCTTATTAATTTGGCAGCTAAGCACTTAATCTAATAGACAACACATATTAAATTGTACTTTGTAAAATAAATAAAATCTGTGGTCCATGGAAGTGGAGGAAAGAAAAGAGTATGACATGATATGTGCCCTCTTGATTTGAAAGCCAGATTTGTCAGTCTGAAGAGAAGCTAATAAATATAACATCACTATAGACACAAGAGTTAAAATAAGTTTTAACAGGAGAACATTATTGCTAGTTCTACGCATGTTCTTACCACCGGCGGCTCATCTCGAGCAAACATTCCCCACATGTTCCAACTCATGTTTCTTCTGAAAGCTGTGTGCTCAGTTTCCCCAAAGCCATAGAGGTACTGAGAAGGGAGGCGAGTTGCAATGGAAATGAACATGTCACTGAAGGTGAAGCCAGGGACTTGAGAATCCCAACTGCAACAGAAAAGCAGACCTGCGTGTTGGGCTGGCAGTCACAGGCCAGAGCAAACACAGAATGTGTCTGGGCACCTTCCAAAGTATTGGACACCTAGATCCAGGTTCGAAACGACCCAGGTAGTAACAGTGGCCAGAACTCAGTTCCAAGGTTCCCCATTTGCATTTTCATTCTGTAACTGTAAGACTGAGAGTTCTTTTTCTGGATCATGGTCTCATTAAAAAGACAGACCACGTCTCATTCATCCCTTTATTCCAAGTTCTCAGAGCTTGCTATATGAGTTTGGATGGACATACGAAGGAGGTCTTTTTCCTCTTAAAAATCTTTCCAACAGAAAAACATGAAACTCTTAGAACAACTTTTTAGATGAGTCAATTTACTGAATAAGAAACGGAGAAAGCTAGATGCATAGGCAAATCAGCAAAGATCACATACAGGAAGAAATGCCTATGTCAGGGGACAGTCACTAATGGGGCAGGGAACTTCGTCATAGGCAAGACCCAGACCTTTAACAGCAAGGTAAGAGATAAGAAATGACTGACAATTCTTTCAATGAAAAGGCTTTGGCTGTAGTGAGATTAGGAACAAAGGCTCTAAGAAGCCATTTCTCACTCCTTAAGAAGCTCTGTCCCATTCTACAGCCTCATCCATTATTATTTCTTAATGATACTTAATTTAGAACAGACTCATGACTTAGGTTTCTGGTGTGCTCACTAAAAAGAGTTTTCTGTTACTTAACAAAAACAATAAACGACATATTTTCTTTCCCTGAAATAAAATGATACATAGTTTTTTTAAGGGTTCATCATTAACTTCTCTGAGCTAATGACGGATAGAAAAATAAATTCCCTAATGAAGCAGAGGAAATTGGTGTCCACTTTGATAAACATGTCCATACTTAGATGTTGGCTCAGAGCTTAGCAGTTCACTTGCGTATCTTAGAATCATTATACTTAGCTCTGTAACCACTTTGATTGGAACCAAGTAAATAGTGCTTACATCACAGTGCTGGAGTTTTTCCGTCGAATTTGGATTCCAAAAGGGTTGGTCTTAACCTCAACATCATACAGGCAGTTTTCAGAGGAGCCGAGCGGTGAAGGTGGGGTATTCAGAGCTATTGGAACCTCATATCTTTGATTAGTGGGGTCGTAGATCTGACAAGGAGAGAAACTCTTTTTTATGGAGTCTTGGCCCTAGATTCCCTCACACCAGCCCATAGAATTCAGATCGCATGGGTTTTTCATAGTTTGCACCCATATCAGGAGCTTTGTATATCTCCAAGCAAGTAAACTAGAGGCCTAGCTATTTACTGTGTAGGACACAGATCCTGGACTTCAAAAATGCCTCAGTAGCCAGGTGTGGTGGCACACACCTTTAATCCAAGCACTTGGGAGGCAGAGGCAAGCAGATCTCTGAGAGATCGAGGCCAGCCTGGTCTACATAGTGAGTTCTAGGTCAGCTGGGGCTTTTGGAAACCCTGTCAAAAAAAGAAAAAAAATTCCTCAGTGATATTCACTCACCCAGGAAGGGCTGTCTGCTGGAGAACTTGTGATCTTGAGCATAAAGCCTCATGAACAGAATGTGCATTTATGATGTGTGCTATATGAAAATACATGTGTGCAACAGTAAAATCATATGTGCATATGTAAGGAGTCAGAGAACACAGTTTCCACAGGGACTGAGATCTGCCTATCTCCTCCCCAAAATTCTAGGGTTGAAGGCACACATGGCCATGGCCAGCTTTTACATGGGTGCTAGGGATTTGAACACTGGTCCTCATGTTCGTGAAGCATGCTCTCTTACCCACAGAGCCATCTCCTCAGCACCACCGAATATTTTTTCCTAAAGCTCTGCTTTAGAAAACATTTTTCTGTGAAATCACAAACAACAGCATTGCATAGGAGCTTAAGAACACAGACTATCAGCCTCTACCCCAGATCTTCCAAAGCAGACTCTCCATTTCCATAGGATGTCCAGGGTAATTCACAATGTATACAAAGTGTGAAAAACTGCCCATCACCCATACATGACTAAGGAGCATCATGGGGTTACCTTGACCTGCAGCATGCTTTCTGTATGGTAGGTCACACTCAGCCTAAGAGAGCTGATCTTCCCAGAGAGAGGATCAGAGGCACGAGGAGCTTGTGCTGATCTTGCAGATGCTGAGTCTTCCAGGAGGGTTAGGTCCATGGTGATGCCTGTGGGCTGGTACTGAATGTTGTTGGCAGCATACTGAGGAATGGTGTCATAGAAACAGGAGGGCACGCCGGGAGTAGTTGTGTACTGGAGCGACAGAAGAAACTATTGGTCAGCTCCTATACCACATTTAGAGACTCTACTGGCTTCACAAGCTATTTAACATAGACTTCAGCTCAGAGAGCTTTGCTGTGGGTTAAATCATTCCCCACAGAGAAGATAAACCCTAAGCCCTTGTATTGTTAATGTGGCTTGTTGGAAATAAGGTCTTTGCAGGTGATCAAGTTAAGTTGAGTTCATTAGGAGGGACTGAAATCTAATTTGACTAATGTGTTTAGTAAGAGGGGGATTTTTATACAGTCAAGCACACACACAGGAGAATACCATATAGGCATGAAGGCAGAGATCAGGATAACGTGTGCTATACCAGTCACAGGAAATGAATCCAAGTTCCAAATAAATTCATTTCACACACACACACACACACACAGGTCTTCCGACACACACACACACACACACACACACACACACACACACACACACAGGTCTTCCTTGAGGAGTGATGAGTGAAAGCCACCTAATCCGAGACCGGAACTTTCAGGTGGGGTCCTGCAAGGTCTTTCCTGTCACATTTCTGTCACTGTCTATCGTTCAAATACAGCAGACTAGAGTTAACATGTACTTTCTGTTTGGGTTCTCCAACAAACAAAATATGTTCACTTACAATACTTAATGTACAATGTCTACTGTCATGGTAAAATGTTTCCATTAGCATATATTACGCTCCCTTGCGTTGCCCTCTTATCTCATCCCTCCCCCTACTGTCCTCTTCATCTTCTCTAACAGTCCAAAAAATAGGGCTTTGAATGATGTAAAGAATGGCAATGGATTCTTTTTAATACACAGGATATCTGAGGGAAGTATTGATCATGTATCAGGTTGAGTTGGCAAATGCCTATTGGCATACCCTAATGATGCCCTTCCATCCATCTACCTTTGCAAAGTTCTTTCCAGGTGTCTAATTACTTGGGGAAAATGTTCACAACTTTCTGATCGATGACCACTCATTACCTCCCAGAGGCACCCTCGTTGCCTGCAGCTCTCCTCGGAGGCTGTAGGATCCTCGGGATAGCAATTAAACTTCTCTAGGTCACTGACGCCAAGTTTCCACTGGATGGAGAATTCTTGTCCCAGTTTCAGTCCTGGGAGGTTAGTGATAGTCACCACCTAGGGAAAGATAAAGTAGACTCCAGTGACAAATAAGGCGAATCAGAGCTATGTAGAAAATGTTCTTGCCTGATGGTCTGAAATTCAGGGCAGCACTAAGTTCTCCCTCCAGTGCCACTTTGGAACACTTGGAACTTGCTTTATTCTTGATCTGTCTCACTGCCTGGGCTCATTGTGGAGAGAAGGAATGTGAAGCGATTTGACCATATTAAGAGTCTGGATCACAGCATGGCTTTCAGTTTTAGGCTTATCATTCTTTTGGTATGATGCTTGTTAAAGTAGGTAATGATGGCTATAATGAATAGCTTGATGTTATCAAACATTCATATAAACCAAGCACTGTGACAATCACATCTAGTAATATGTCCACTAATCCTATAAAGAGACCCCATAATACAAATACTATGGTTGACTCCATGGTAAAGATTTAATACAATGTCTAAGGTCTCACAACGATGTGACAATAAATGTAGGATGAGCACCTTGTTCTTAATCCTAGAAACAAACTCCCGTTCTGTGCTTTCAAATGGAAGATGTCTAACCTAAGAAACAATGGACTTCCCAGTTCTTGAACTAGTGAATGAAGAACTTTAATTCTAATCTGAACTTATCATATAAGGGAGTCACTCATTGAGAACAAAACCAGATTATAACTTGTGTTTTCTCCCACTCACATTTTATGTAGTGGTATGAAAATAGCTTATAGCAATAGCAGTAAGAAAAACTACCAGCTGTGCCAAGGACAATTAACTTGATTGAAGGACAAACAGGTAAACACTATCTAGAACCAGGACAATCTAGTAAACATCATCTCTGCTGCCACATTTGAGATCAGTCTATTTAGTGTTAAATGTTCAGAAAAGAGCTTCCCTTCTCTTAGGGTACCAACTCTAGCTAACGTCTTTAGAGCCCTAATGCCCATAAGGGGGAAAACATCCATACTTTCAAGCATACATTTCTCCTGCATCTTCCTTGTAAGGCGATGACTGTCCCAACAAGGAAAGTGCCTCTCTGACTATCCAAAGGCACAGAGACAAGGCCAGAATATCTGGCCACAAAGCCCAATTGTCAGAATATCAGGCAAGAGCTGTCAGCAAGGGTTTTGAAGAAGGAACAATCTCTCACCTTCGTTGAGGCATTGTAGACGAAATTTGAAAGGGATGCAGGATTATTATTCACTAAGACAGTAAAATCAGTCGGCTCCTTGTCCATCCCCAAGATTCTGATGTCTGTAAACGTGAGGTTATTGGGGTCCTCATAACCATTATTTACAATCTTTGCCTGGAAAGAATTCTGGGGGAGGGAGGAGAGAGAAAGTCATTGTTAGAGACCGGGTATACTCATTCAATGTCTCTTTCTAAAATCCAGGATGATAAAAATTCAAAAATTTTAGAAAAATAAAATAGGAGAAAGTACTAAGGGTCTACAGCCAAGCGAAGAGCTCTAAACATGACATCAATAAACATTATCCAAAAAGGAAAATAAGGATGAACTAGACACACTAAAGTCTTAAATATTTGCCAGGCATGGTGGCACACACCTGTAATCCCAGAACTCAGGAGGCAGAGGCAGGCAGATCTTTGTGAGACTGAGACCAGCCTGCTCTACATAATGAGTTCCATACCAACTGGATCTACAGAGAGACCTTATCTCAAAAAAAAGAAAGAAAGAAAAGAAAATGTTTGCTTTCTGAAATACCCTAAGAGAAAGAAAAGAGAAGCCTACACATAGAAGCAAGTATTTTCAAATAATAGATTCAACAAAGGACATCACAAATACTTAGGAATCCTTAAAGCTAAGCTAACCAAAGCTGAGCAATCAAATCAGAATATAAACAAAGAAATTATATTTCACCTCAGAAATTACAGAAAAGGTAAATAGACATATGCAAAGATTTCAGTATTATTGGAGTTTGAATAAATAGTAATACAAATTAAAGCCACAATAAGATATCATCAAATACTAATCAGAATGTCTAAAATGAAAAACAGCGACAACTCAAATGCTTGTGCTATAGAATAATAGAGAGGTGCATGTGGCATAAACATTGGCCTTGACAGCATTCCTCATAGATTGCTGACAGAAATATAAAATAGATTATAGCCACCCTGGGAAACAGTTCAGAAGTTTCTTATACAACTAAGCACATACTAACTTAACACTAAGACATTTGTCTCAGAGAACTGAAAACCTAATGTTTACCAAAATCTGTCCATGAATTTCCATAGAACTTTTATTTAAAGTAGCCCATGACTGGAATGACACAGGTTCTCATTAGTAAATAAATGATTGAACAAAGGATGGTATCCCCATGCCTTAAAATGTGACATGTCATGAATTTCCATAGAACTTTTATTTAAAGTAACCCATGACTGGAATGACACAGGTTCTCATTAGTAAATAAATAATTGAACAAAGGATGGTATCTCCACACCTTAAAATGTGACATATCAGTAAAAAAGAAAAGAAAAACACAATTTTGAAGAGTTTTGAGAAAATTATGCTAAAGCCCATGACTGGAATGACACAGGTTCTCATTAGTAAATAAATGATTGAACAAAGGATGGTATCCCCATGCCTTAAAATGTGACATGTCAGTAAAAAAGAAAAGAAAAACACAATTTTGAAGAGTTTTGAGAAAATTATGCTAAGCGAAAAAGCCAGCTGCCAAGGTTGCATACATCATATGACTCCAGTTACAGAATTCTTGGAAGGACAGGAATGGAGAGCAGATGACTGATAGTGGCTTAAGTAAGGGTGAGGGGTGGCTGGAGAGATGGCTCAGTGCTTAAGAGCACTGGCTGCTCGTGCAGAGGACCCAGGTTTGATTCCCAGCACCCACATGGTGGCTCACAATCACCTGTAACTTCAGATTACATTACACAAGGGTGCAATTACACTCATACACATGAAATAAAAATGACAAAATTTTGAAAAAGAAAGGGTGGGGACTTGAAGCAAGTGGATGTTGTCATAGAAGAGCAGTAGAGGGAGCTGTATCTTGAGAGGAGCATTGCCAATATTAGGTTTGATTCCCAGCACCCACATGGTGGCTCACAACCATCTGTAACTTCAGATTACATTACACAAGGGTGCAATTACACTCATACACATAAAATAAAAATGATAAAATTTTGAAAAGGAAAGGGTGGGGACTTCATAGAAGAGCAGTAGAGGGAGCTGTATCTTGAGACGAGCATTGCCAATATCATGACTGTGACGTTGTAATGATGGCGCTATGATATAGGTGTTATATAGGATGAACCATACATAAGGACTCTATTATTCATTATTGCTGCTTGAACACCTTTATCTCAAAATTGAAAGTTAAATCTTAACTAAAATTAATCTCCACATACAGTGATCAAGCTGCTATGAAGATCAAGTAAGAACTTTCTGCTAGCCTTTCAGCCTTTCCTTCCCCTTCAGTCCCTTGGGGAATAGAGATGAGGTGTGTGATGCCCTAAAATTTCTCAACTTTCAAAGCTACTACCTGATATCAAACACAAATTTAAAGGCCCGAGAAAGAAAGGGTAATCTTATAGAAGACTTCATGGCCCATCATTACTCTCACACCCTACACACATTTGCATTTGTCAGTAAAGACCCACCTTAAAAATCAGGACTCGGGGGCTGGAGAGATGGCTCAGTGGTTAAGAGCATTGGCTGCTCTTGCACAGGGCTTGGGTTTGGTTCCCTTCACCCACATGGTGGCTAACAACTATCATAATTCTGGTTCCAGAGGATCTGACACCCTCTTCTGGCCTCTGTAGGCATTGCACACATGGCTGCAGTTACAGACATTCAGACAAAACATTCATACACATAAAAAAATCTTTTTATTGAGCTTTTTAAATTTCATACATTTCCCACTCACATCCATCCCCCATCCACCATCCATGCCTCCTCCTAACCCCACTCCAAACCCTATGCACTCTGCCATACATGCTGAGTCCTATTCATTCAGTGTTTGTCCCCAAATGTCCTTCTGTGTAAATGTGTCCACTGGAATCTAGTCCATCCAGTGGTGGTATGTAAGTCACACTCTCCCTCACCCAGCAGCAATCAGTCTCAAATAGTTCTCGATCTAATGCTGGCCCTAAATAAAATAATCTTTTTAAAATAGTCAGGACTCATCATACAAAACTCAAAGGCAATGGCTTTTCCAAGAAGTACAAACACACACACACACACACACACACACACACACACACAATACTAATTTGGGGACTGCGTTTGCGCCTTCCCCTGTTTAAAAAGAAAATAAAAAGTCATATATCTGACAGAGATTAAACGTGTTTGTACTAACTTGAATCTCTTCTAGAACCGTCATAGTCAAACACTGCCTCTTTTTCACAGGACAAAGCACACACAGAAACACCAAAAAACCCAAAAAGTAATCACAATAAGAAACGTAAAATGAGTGTTCCTTCAAAACAGTACTTACAGATGTAACAGAAAACTCGTACAGAATGTATTTCTTTCCAGTTACTGAGCCTGAAAGAAGAAAGTGATGTGCATCTGTTACCAAAGATGCCAGTGGATCTTGGAGACTCACTCCTCTGCGTTGTGGATTCTTTTGCCTTAGTTGCGTTCAAGCCCATTTTTTGTCCATCTACAGAAATTTCACAGACTACTTTCTCTGAACTCTTGCTGTGTTGTCATTCCACTTATTTACACTTAAAACATTTTGGTTTGCATTCGTTATCTATCCTGCCAGACCATGCTTGTCAAGGTCAATGTTTATACCACATTCACCTCCATATGCTTTGCACATAGGATAATAATGAGCAGCAAAAATCTTAACACATTCTAATTCTTTTCAATCTAAAAGTTAATGTGTGGTATTCGTATCAAAATATTTTTGTTTGTTTGTTTTGGAGGTATTTTTTTAGATAGGGTCTCCAGCTCACAGAGATCCACCTGCTTCTGCCTCCTGAGTGCTGGAACTGAAGGCCTGCACCACCATGCCCAGCTCATATAAAAGTCTTACTGTAAAAATCACACAACCTGCACTAGATATGTCTTTCTCAACAGTATGTGAAAAAGTGCTTTACAAAGCTCTTAACAAAAATATATTGCTTGATATTAATGATGACGCCAGAACAAAGCAAGGAAATGGGTGTGATACTGTTTGTTCTTTTGATAGTGTCAATAACATACAGGGTACACATGCAAAGTTTATTTTAATGCATCATGCTTGGCTAATGGAACTTTCAGAGTGAGTTGTAATTTGCCAGTTCTAAGCTATTAAAATAGGCAGCAACAGAAGCAGGGTTGGTGCCTTATTGGGAAGCTCTGGTGATGGCTTGTCACTGAGAACCACGCTATGACCCCATGGGGAAGTCTACCTTTAGACACACCGTCGTCCCAGTACAGTTCTCCCTTCGCTTCTCTCTTGTGGTCCAAGGCAACAATGAGTCTCAGGGGACGTTCCCGGCTGAGGGGAGCAATTCCCAGTTTCAAAGAATGAAGAAGAGATAGAATCATATGAGATGACCCCCTTGATAGCCAGGGATGGGTTCTCCGGAGTCCAGCCCAGAAACTGAGTAGATATTAACATTTCATGGAAACATGGGTGTGGGAAGGGAGCAGAGTGTGGTAGAGTGGTGAGGTGAGATAGTTCCTGAAAACTGAGTTTGTGACCATTCCAACACAGTGCTGATTGGACACGTCTCCTGTAATGGACACTCTTCCGAGTATACCACAGGTATTATAATTTATATTAATTTATTTAACCCTCACAATAAAAAGTCAGACCGTCATCCTCTCCAGGTCACCAATAACACGTATGAGCACAGACAAGCTGTCCAAGGTTAACACGCTGCAGTAGAGCCAGAGTTTAAATTCAAATGCTCCAGAATCTGAGCCTTGAAACTTCAAGTGATGCTGACCTTTACCTCCTACTTAATTTCTCTTTTGCATTTGGGAGCACACACCTGAGATTAATTTCTGGCCATAGGGAAATCCTCCTGAAGATTATTTTGACTATTCCTATATAATATGATCTAATCCAAATGTGAAGGACTATGCAAATGTAAAGGAATGTGAGGTGGTATTTACCCCTGTCAAATGAGAACTCTGAAGACAATTTTTGGACCCACTTTGGCCCATCCACTCTTGGTCCTGGTTCACTTCCCTCATGAATCCCTATCAAGCACCATAGCAGTCAGCCATACCTTAGAAGACCCTGGAGCTTACCTGGCCTCTGTGGTTATGTTTGGCTGCTGGATGGGAAATATGTAACCCCCTCGAAGGTGAAGGCCAATCTTTTCTCTTGGGAGTTGCATATCCACAAATTGTTTCCTCCATTGGATGACTAGTTCCTAATCAACAAAAGGAAAGTAGAGAAGGTGATGGATGTGGGCTAGGAAGGACCCACAGACCATCTAGACCAGTTGGTTCACTTTAAAGATGATGTGATAAGGTTGGAGATTTTTCTAAAGCATATGAATAGTGAAAAACAGAGCTGACACTCGAACCTACCCTCTTGTTTACTTCTCATCATACTGTCTGTTATCGTCTGAATCTTAAATGTCCCCCAAAGTCCCATGGGTGAAAAGTTTAGTCCCTCGCTCAGTGTTACAGCTATCTGGTAGGAACTAAGAAGTAGAGTCTAGTGAGAGGTTTTAAGTGTGCCGTCAAAGGGAATTATCAATCTCTGGTCTCTTCCTCATTCTCTCTGCCACTTCATAGCCATGAAGCGAGTGGTTTTGCTCCACTCCATGCTTCCACACATGTAGGCTGCCCAGGCCCAAAGCAATAGGAACAAGCATGGGAACTTGGGAAATTGAAAGCCAAGTAGAGAGTCCTTTTTTCTTGATCTTATTGTTTCAGGTATTGTTAGAGTAATAGGAAGATGACTGACATACTGTGATTTTACAACTGAGCTTGAAGTCTCTGTGTTATCATAGATAAAGATAAACGACTTGTCCTAATTATCAATGTAGTGACCAGATTGAGATTGTGAAGTTCTACAAACTACTGTAGCTATTCAAGTTGGAAATGGACTCTTCTGCAGCATGAATGATAAGCTCCTCCAAAGTTCATATATTGGAATCTAATGCTCTGTATGGCAGTACCGGGAGATGAGCCCTTTGGACAGGTAATTATGTCATGACAACTCAGTGAGTAGCTACCACTGATGAAGTTGAGTCAACCCTCATGCAATATCAAATCTTCCATGGCCTTGATCTGGGACTTTCTAGCCTCCAAGAGCCATGGGCATTAAGCTTCTGTTGTTTATAAGTTATCTAGTGCAAGGTGTTTTGTTATATCATCCTAAACTAACTAATATACCTCTCAAAATATCCACAATCAACTAATTGTAACACTTGACATTCTTATCCTACTGCAAGCTCCTCAGAGTGCTGATTTATAACTGTCCTCTGCTAGAAGCAGGTATCTGAAACAACTGAGGCCATTTCACTTACTGTCTCGTAGTCATACCAAATGGCATCTGGGATGTAGGCTTTCACTTGGTCCATGCCCTAAGGAAATAACATCAACAAGCAACATTGTTAGCACACCCAGCCCTTTGTAGTTTATGGAATCAACCTCTCTTCTCTCTCTCTCTCTCTCTCTCTCTCTCTCTCTCTCTCTCTCTCGCCCCCCTCCTGAATATGGTCCTCTGAATAATCCTAAAAGCCAGGTGACATCATCTCATTATACCAGTGAAAACACAGAAGCTCAGAGAGGCTGAATAGCTTATTCAAAAGCCAAGCTGTACCTAGACACTAAGTTTATTTGGTTTCCATGTTTTCCAGGCGAAGCCGAGAATTTCATTCTCAAAGTGTTGCGGTCTACAATTTGGTAACAGACTAACCCCACCAGGTTCACAGGAAAGCAAATCTGCTTATTGGTTAGCAAGACCCATCATCAGATGATACAGACAGAATACTACACGCTCAAAGGGTCATTGGCATGACTATATTAGCAATATTTTTTTTAAACAAGATGCTCCTTGTCCGACACCTCACCACTCACCCTTCACCATAGTCCTTCCTATCTATACTTCAACCTCCGTCTTTGATCCTTTTTAAACCTATCCTGACTTCCCAATCCCTATGTACAAGCAGAAATGTAAATTGGCAGTACACAAGCACACCTACATACACCAAATCATTCAAAGTCCAAGTCAGGGCCAGGGCCACATGCCTAGGGACATAGATTTTTAATTGTTATACTTAATGCATCATTGGCACCAAGAGGTCTTATTTTCCTAATTTCCAAATGTTCACAATTATTCTTATTTATATACACATTTAGATTAAAGTTACACATGGATGCTTAGGATCTAGCTTATTTAGCTGTAAAGCTATGAAAAAAAAACCTGAAATACCCCATTCCGTTATTTAGATTACAAGCATACTTCATATAGCACAGGTGTGATTAGGAGTCCAGGTCCCCATAAGAACTGCTCATGTATGTCCCACGTGGCTGGGTCCTGAAAGAACCTAGAAAGAGCACATTCAGTCAGGTGAGTGCAATTTTCAATGTGAGTGCAATTTCCAATATGATGCGTCTTGCTACCGTAGGAGGTAGAGGGAACTTGTAATGTGAAGGGGCGTCTGAGGACCAGGAAACTCACTCATGTACCAGAGGTCTTGCTACCGTCTCTCCCAGGGTGTGAGCACGGTAGAAAAGGGTGTAGAGATAAGGCAGCAAGGTATAGCGGATGTTCAGATAATGTCTGGAGGATTTTAACAGCCAAGAGTCAGTTCCAAAGGCGGCAGGGTCCTGGTCCTAGAAGGATACAGAAGCAACTACTGAATATTTCTCTCCATTAAGAGGACTTCAAAAGTCCTCTCATGATAAAGTTTTTTCAGATAAACAAATTATCTTCTCCAGTTTGGAAAGGACTCAATTGATCTTGGTTATACTACTTTGATTTATGGCTGGGAAAAATTGTCAAAGATTATATGACTTCTCCAATGTAGAATCACAAGCAAGAGGCATCTTTCAGTTGACACATGTCTTCTGAGGGCTACTGTGCTGTTCCTGGATGACAAGAAAATCCCACAAGGGTTCCCATGAGCATAAGGGAGTTTACTTCCTCCAGTGACACTCCAAATTTACATTTTCAATTTTTTTACTTATTTTTACTTTTATGTGTATGAGTGTATTGCCTACATGTACCTAAGTGCACTCATGTCATGCAGTGCCCACAGAGACCAGGAGAAGGTATTGGATTCTCTGAACCTGGAGTTAAGAATGGTTGTTAGCCATGATACGGGTGCTGGGAACTGACTCTCTAGCCTCCACATATATTTATTTGTGTGTGTGTGTGTGTGTGTGTGTGTGTGTGTGTGTGTGTGTGTGTGTGTGTGTGTGTGTGTGTGTGTGTGTGTGTACCCACATGCAGTAGTGACCCCTTCCACCATGTGGGTCCTAGGTGTTGAACTCAGTTAGGTCTTCAGGTTTGGTGGCAAGTGCCTTTACACACTGAACTATCTCACCCGTCCCTCCAATTTATTTTTGAGGGATTTTGTGTTTCACCTGGAAGATAATACAATTACTAATGATAATTTATTCTAAACTTAGTTTTACTATTTTTAAAGCCATTGCCTTAAGTTTCACTGCCTAACTATGGGTGATACATCATCTATCTTTTCACTACCATGGATTTTTGTGAAACTACAATTCTTATATCTTAGCTGTAGTTTCATTTGTAATGTTTTCACCATAACAGTTTCATTTTTCATATCCCAAAGAAAATGACCTCTGCTTCTTCCCTTATATTAATAAAATGCATAAAAATATCGTAAGAACAGATCTTAGAAGATTTTATCAAAGAACAAACAAAGAATTCTTCAGAAAGGAAATCCAATTTTTCTGGGACTTAGAGACAAAAATTTGCCAGTAATGATGCACTCATTTTGTTTTCTTTGTAGTGTGGAAGATGTGAAAGACGCACACATTGCACGAGATTTCTCATCATGTACCATATAATGAGCACTAAATTTTGGAGAAAAGTACGTGAATCTATTGCTTCTATTGTGAATCTATTCTTTTGGGCATGATGCCTAACCCTTCGCCCAATAGAACCATTCTATGACCCTAATGTAGGGAATCATGAAAATGCCGAGACCAAAAATAAAATAGGTTTCTTCAGCCTCCATCACCTGGCTTCTGGCTGAGCAACTCTAGAGCTTTACTCTACGTGGTGGAGGCCATGACACCGAGATGTGGCTGCTAAGACCGAAGAACACAACTGTTTAATTTGCTAATGATTAACTTAAATGTAAATCTTAAGACTGAACCAATGTAAGTATTGAATACCAAATATCTCATCATTTTATCTGGATTATGTTTTACATCAGCTTAACACACAAATTGAAATGTACTAAAAGTATATACTGAATGTTGAACACCTGTTAGAAAGACAAGGATATCAAATAGTTCACTAATAATATCTTATGTTAAACATAGATTAAATGAAAATGCTATGGATGTGTTGAGTGCCTAAAATATATTTTTAAACCCCTATTTTTTTTTTACTTCTAGTTTCTATTCAATATGAGAAGTGTATTTCTTATTATAACACCATTGGAAAGACCTAGTTGGAGGAAAACTAACATTTTCATCTAGCCACCTAGGAGATCTCAGGGTTTTTATCTACATTAGCCTTGCCAGGCCATCTCTTTGTGAACAATACCTGTCTTCCCTGTCCGCAGCCACCTTCTTAGACATTCAGAAACAGTTCCTCTCTTTCCAGACCACATGTGGCTAGGAGAACTCAAGAACGAAATACATTGAAGGATTGACTGCAAATCCTCCCAGACAGGAGACACATGATTACACAAAGCCAAGAGCTGGAGCCTTGACGATCATGAATTTATTCCAGTGAACTTACTTTTTTTGCATAGGTATGCTTGTATATGGCATGCATGTGTGTGCACGTGTTCTCACGTGTGCGGACATATGTATCTGCAGGTGTGCATGCATGTGTGTATGCCAGTATAGAGACCAAAAGTTGACACTGAGTGTCTTCCTCAACCACTGCCCACTTTATTTATTGAGGCAGGGTCTCATGTTGAACTCCGAGCTCTCCAATTTCAGCTGGTGTATGTAGCCAGCTTGCTTTGCGGGCGGTCCCCTGTCTCTGCCTCCAGAATGCTGGGATCACAGCTGCCCAGCTTGTACATGGGTTCTGAGGATCTCAACTCCAGTGCTCACACTTGTGTGGCAAGCACTTTCTCCACTGAGCCATCTCCCCAGCCCCCTCTACTGAGTCCATTAAAACTGAAATCACTCAATTTGAAGAAGTTCAATTATAGCTTATTTCAGTAGAACAAGTAATAATCAGTTTATTTTTTCCTATTGTGTGATAAATATTTAAGAAGGATTTTGATCCAACTTCTACAAATTTATCCTTCAAAAAGATACTATTTTAGATAGAAAAGGATAAAGGGATGATTTCCCAAACTATTCATTGTAAGGTAGAGCATAACAAAATGAAAACCATTTTAGATTGCTGGCCTGACCCTGCCTAAATCTTTCTTCCTTGTCTCCCATGTCTATGAGTAGTCTCTCTTTTATTAATCAAAATAAAATACCACTGAGCTCCCTGTGATATTTCTATAAGGTGACAGCAAATGATTGAAGCAGCATAGCTATTGGCGGAAGCAGGGACTGAACGCAGGGCCTCCAACTGCTGACTCTGCTTGCTTGCTTGCTTGGAGACAAAGTCTTCACATGTAGACCAGGCTGGTCTAAAATGCGCAACAATCCTCCTGCCTCTGTCTCTTAAGTGCTAGGAATACAAGCGCAGAACCAAGCCTGTCTGCAGCATAGAAAATTTACCAAATGTTCCAGATTTGTGTGGGTGAGTCTTCAGCATTATTTAAACATATAAACTTACACCCCTTTCCACATTTTTATCCTGATAAAATGCTTTTTTAGGCATGTCACTCATGATTTACCTATCCTTCTGCAGTCTGGGCCAATATGTAGGATTTTCTACAAGCCCTCTTTGAAAGCAAGTAGATTATATTATCCAAGAATTTTTCATCTTTCGGGGAACTTACTCTGAACTCAGGACCATTGTGATTTCTGGACAGTGGATAAAATGCTCCAAGCTGCATCCACCTTGCGCAGAGCTCCTCTGTGACATCTTTAAAATAGCCACAGATGTTGGCACCTACCTAGAGAGTTAGCACACATGCAAACACAGTGGTCACTGGAAAGGTCAAAGCATTACTGCATACTTAGAAGTGAAAGAGTATCTCATAGTGGCATCATTTAGTGCTTAAAAGATCCCAGAATGTCAGGGCAAGTACGTAGTCAAATAAGAGATATAAGGGAATGTTCACCTTTGAACATACTAAGGAGCCTGATGAGTGGTACAGACAAGGCCTTGACATCGAGAGTTCGTCCTCAACATTCATTGCCCAGTTTCCAACCTCCCTACTCACCGATACTCTCCTGGCAGTACAGTTTTCTCTGAAATGCACACATTTTACCCACAGCAAAAATTACTAAAACAGAGATGGTATAGATCACAATCCAGTGCTAAAGTTTTTACCATCCTGTCTTTAGGACACGTTACTCCACACATAGAAATTATTTTTACCAAACAAAGAGACATGCTCCTTGATTTTACAAACACCCTTAAAGACTAGCAATGGAAAGAGCAGCAAAGACAAAACGCTTGGCTGGGCATTAAGCTCACCATGGGGATGCCAAACAGGTTGAACTCAAGGATGCTGGGGATGGACCATCTGAGGTCATCCCAGGTAGCTGCATTGTCCCCCAGCCAGTGAGCAGCAAATTTTCCAGATCCAGCAAAGGTAGAACGGGATAAGATAAAGTTCCTCTTAGCAGACAAGACAGACTCCAGGGCCCTGAAAGAGTGCAACCAGTCAAGGGTGAGGTGAACTGTGGACATCTAGAATTCAGCTTAGACCAAGATGGACAAAGGCCAAAATAATGTATCAAAATCTAGATTTGCAAATTCATTCAATATTTTTAAGAGCTTCTTCCCATTTCTGAGTAAGGTTTATGATCTCTTATAAGGTAATTCAGATCTAATCCAGCCTCCAGTGAAATTTCTCAGTGTCCCTGTCCTGATTATAATGTCTACATCTTGTTGGGTCTGATTTGGGTCTGGCATGAAGGACAATATATTGTCACTGTGGGTTAGATTCAGGGTCAGTCTCCTCTAGACAGGATGTTTCTTGCATCCTTCTATCCAGGCTTTGCGGCCTGGTGCATAACAATGGCCCATGTTGGAACTCTGCCCTGGTATGAACTAGCAGATACTTTATTACCACAGGCTGAAGGTTTATTGCACCATGAATCATTGATCAAGAAGGAAATGCATCCAGGCTATAGAAAGTGAAACTGAAACAGAAATGCAGGTGAGGTTGCAGATTAGGGGACATTTTCAGGGTATCAGTGATTACATAGCACTCGGTGATTCCCAGTTTAGAGAAAAACTTATTTAAAGATTCTTCCATTTCTTTTTTCCCTTGCCTGGGTCTGGCCTGTTTAAGATTGCCCAAGGTTTGTGAGAGGATCTATCTCCTTTCAGCCCCAACAGAGTTAAATTTCACTCACTTTTGCTCAGTGGCCATTGTCCCCAAATTACTCGTCTAGCTAACATTGAGTCAAATCTTCAGTAGACCTACACCTTCAGTTCTGAGGTGTAGATCTCACTGAGTCAAAAATCTTGACTTTTTTTGGGTGAAAGTCAGGTATGTGAAAGGATAAAGCTGACCCAAACCTTTATTTTTTAGATCCAACACTACCTCATGCCCAAAGGTCAAGTTCTACTTATTGATAGGGCTCAGATCCAGATGACCCCAGACCCAGAAACAATAAGGCCCCTAAGAGGAACTGAGTCAACCAACTCCCAGCCACCTGAAAATTAACAAAAGCATCTCCAGGAAATCAATGACCAATGTACTGTGATCACCAGAGCATGTTCCACAGGCTGACAAACAGGTTTCCCAAGCGCTCAGCTGCAATTAGTTCTTGGAACCCAGTAATTGTAGAAAACATGTTTTATAGTAGATGTTTTCCTCCATAAGTTTCACCAAGTACAGACCCCATGCCCTGCCTGAGCAAGCTGCCCCAAAACAACCCCAAATAGCAGAAAAATACTCTCTTTTTCCGTATTCTGTCCCTTTATAAGCTACCCCTTTGCAGCCATTAGGCTGCTGGTTCTTCCACACACCCGAGTTGAGGACCAGCCCTGCCAAACCCAGGTAAACTCTCGCTTTGCCAGAGTCCTCTTTCTGCTTCGCAGCGATCCAGACCCCTGCCACCTTTTTATCTAACACTTATTTCTACCTCTTTCTAGAAATGTAGCCCTTTCTTCCCAGCCTAGAGAAGTCAGAAAGATGTCCAGTATTCAGTCACAACTACCTTTTAGCCATTAACCACAGCTATTAGAATACATTAACCAAGCCATTTATGGTTTTATGGCACTTTTATCCTATGGAAACAGTGGCAGGAAGGGGGAGGGAGAATAAGGAGGCTGGAGAAGGAGGAAGAGGAGAGACAGAAGGAAGAAAGGGAGAGAAGTAAGGAGGGAGGTCTATCAGCAAAGAGAAAAAACATCAGAAACAGGTATTCATGGAGTTTGCTTTTACTGAAATACAAATGTGCATGTTTTTTAGACAAGGATTCTCTCTTTTCTGGACAGCCCAATATAATAGAAAGTCATAACAGTGTTGAAAAGCAAAATAGGCAGTCTCTTTCTCTAACTCTCCAGGCTCTTCCCTTTCTCAAGCCAGTCACTGTTCCACTGTATACATCAATGCACATTCTGTTCTTTTGTTAAAAAATAGTATTCATTTATTTATTTGTCTTTAGTCTATGTGTATGTGTATTTTGCCTGCATGTATGTAAGTGCACCCACGCCCACAGAGACCAGAAGAGGGTGTGAGAACTCCTAGAAATGGGTTGTGGATGGTTGTTAGCTGCCATGTGGGTGCTGGGAACCAAATTTGGGTCCTCTGCAAGAGCAGTGAGGACTTTTAACCACTGAACCATCTCTCCAACCCCCCACACACTGCTCCTTAAGATGAGAATACAGGGTTTTCTATAAAAAAGACTATAATAAGAAAAAATGAATAAGAAAAAAATGTGCATCTAAAATTATATCATAATTTTGTGTATTAAGCTTACAGGTATATGAAGGAATGTAGCACAAAAGGGAAAATAATATTGTTCTAGAATAGTCAGGAAGGGTTCAAGAACTGAAATCATAGGTAAGGTTTTATACTTGGAAAATGAACAGGGCAAGGAAGGCTGTCTTGTTCAGGTTAAAGCTCATGAAAGATATGGAAGAATATATAGCATTTTGATTCGGGAAAAACAAACAACTACGATCACCCAGAGCATAAAAATAAAGTATGAGAAGTAACAAAGATGTGGGAAATTCCAGTTATGGAGGACTTCACAGTCTGTTCTGAGTGGATTCGATTTTATCATACAGAAAAGAGTAGGTGGTAAATAGTTTTACACTGGGGAAACAGATGTGAACACTTGTGCCTCAGAAAAACAACTTTGACAACAGTGTAGAATCGTTCTTTCCGAATTTTAGCATTTATTCACTACACCCGGAGGTGGTGGTGAAATGCTGACTTGAATTCCTAAGGTTCAGGCGGAGGCTCAAGATACTGAACTTTTAATATCTTTCCTAGAGCTGCTAATGAAGCTGGTCCTTGCACCACACTTCGAACGGTACAGCACAGATAATTTGGAAATAAGGTTAAAATCAGAGAGGCAGGTGATGAGTCATTATTTATGAGAGAAATGATGAGGTCTTTAATTAAAAAGTGATCATGGGGGAGAAACAAAAGATGGTTATAACAAGATTTAAAAAGTAGAAACACAATGATCAAAGGCTGATTTCATGTGAGAGTATGAAAGAAAGAAAAGATGGCATGAAGTTTATCAGTTCAGAGTCTGGGAGGCATGGATGGCATTGCTACCAGCCAAGGTATGGGATTAAAAATGATCAGTCAGAGTGTGGCAGTTAGCTTCAAAAAGGAAGCAGAGTCAATGGTGTATGAAATCCTGTGACACATCAAAAAAGAGGCTAGAGGGCTGTGTGTGTGTGTGTGTGTGTGTGTGTGTGTGTGTGTGTGTATAATATATAAGGTTTCTTTTAATTATATGTATGAGTGTGTGTCTATGCATAGGAGTTCAGGTGCCCATGAAGGTCAGAAGAGGGCATCAGCTCCCCTAGAACTGGAGTTATAGGTGGTCATGAGCTGCCACACATGGGTGATAGGACCTGAACTCAGGTCCTCTGCAAGAGCAATATGCACTCTAAACCACTGAGCCATCTCTCCAGCTCCAGGTGTAGATATATGTGTCTGAAACTCAAGATGAGACATAGAAATACACATTTTTAAATCAATAAATGACAGTGAAATCCATGATAAGGAATAAATTACCTATGTGCTGACCTAGAGTGGACAGAAAAGAAGCATGAGGATTGATCCCTATGGCTCATCTGTAGGAAAACAGAGGATAATGGGCAGATACTGATGGACATAGAGGCAAGAACGAAGGTCTGAAAGGATCCTATGTGGTGCAGTCACTTAAAGGCTAAAGGAACCACGGCTCAAGGAGTCATGAGAGACAGAGAAGTCAAGTGAGGCAAAGCTGTGGATGTGCCCGTTGAAGTCCCCTGGCCTGCCTCCTTCCCACATGAAGTTCTAGGAATGCCAGAATAGAAGGAAACAGCACAGAAAGACTTCAAGACCAGCTTTTTCCCAAACCACTGACGTAGTCTCAATAACCATTCAAAACATTTTAGCTCCCCATCTCTATTGCAAATTTAAAATTAAAGTCTTCTTATGCTTGACCCATTTTTCCATTTTTTAGATATAATGATTATATTTTATCATGTAAGGGACTGAGTGGAGTGGAGGGGTTGCTGTGTCTCTGTTTAAAAAGCCATTGCTGAAATCCATGTGACAAGGTGGGAGGACAGAATGCTGCACTGTACATACCTGTTCCCTCAAAAGGGGTGATATTGGTGAATAACACGTAATTTTATTTGCTAAAATCAAGCAACCTTTCTGTGGTAACTTTAGCCTATTCAGTAACGGGATCCTGCATGGGCTGGTGTCTAGCTGGGGACTCTGTCTTTTATCTCATTGTCTGTGAGTGTCCTTGAAATGATGATATACTTTATCCAAAACCCAATCAAAATTAATCTTACACAGAAAACAAAACTCTGTGCAAAAATAATTTTTGAGTATTACATACCAGTTTCTGTACCCATATGACCACAAAAATATTTGCATAATATATTTATGGAAGTAAAGAAAACCCCATCTACCCATTACCTTCCACATTCCACCTCCCACCTCCCCAAATCCAGATCCAGGTAGAAAATCAAAGCCTTACAAGTCTGTGACTCTCGCCATGTTGTAGCCATACAAGCTGTGGACATCGTAGTGAAGGCCTGAGTAGAATTCTGTGTCCATGCAGAGGGTCCTTGTAAACAGAGAGCCACCCAGGACGTCTAGGAAGAACAGCCATCAATGGGGAAATTTTTCATCTAGTAACTGTGGTAAAGTACAACCCAATCTTTTTCTTCCTAGTTACTGCGCCTTCTTTGCTCACAAAGGATGTTGGTGAGTAAAGGCATCTGAGAAACCAGGTCAGAGCCCTGGGCAACTGATCTAAGAATAAGCGTAAAGCACTTACTGTTGATCTACACACACTTAATGAAGGAGAACTATGTGCGCAATGCACAGGAACAAGGCCAGGGAAGGGTGTAGTCACTTTTATATCACAGTTTAAAAACAAAAAAGGAGTTTGTGACCGGGTAATTTCATGAATAAGAACTCAAATCCTAGCTCTGAGAATCCCTACTGTGGCTATTTTCCCCCTTTCTGGAGGCTAAATAATCACTCTTGGGGTCGGAGAGATGACTTAGGAACACTTGCTGCTCTTGTAAAGGACCTGGGTTTATTTCCCAGTACTCAAATGGTGGCTAACAACTACCTATAACTCCAGTCCCCAGGGAATCTGACACCCTCTTCTGACTTCCACAGGCTCCTACACACATGTGCTGTGCATACATACATTAGGCACACTTACACACACATAAAAATAATAAAATAAATTTTAAAAAGAAATGCTTTATACTGCTTTGTGTCCTATGAGCTACTCTTTTTCTCCCCTCTCTGTAGCTACATAGCTGAGGTCTTGGCCCTCTATAGGTAAGCCCTTAACATGAGGCATAATTCCAGAAAGTGGTGGAACAAGGAATAATTTAAGGTTCTTTTTTCCAACTACCCTTATAGAACAAATTTAATAGGCTGATAAGTCATAAAGAAAATCATATTTCTTGTAATTTCTTGTGAGATGAGATTCATAACTATGTCAATTATGGACAGAATACTGAAGTTTTCCCAAGGTCAAAGCTAATTGTAGCCGTACCATTACCATGCTTAAAGTGAACTGTGCAGTAATGAAAAGGTGAGAAAGCTGTTAGGAGAAAGTGGCTAGTCATGTGTGAATAGACAAAGGGCTGAGAGGTATGGAATAAGTTTTTGTCAGAGCAAGCAGACAGTGATAAACTGAGGCACTCTATGGGAAAAAAAAGCTTTGATGAAAAATAACATTAAGAAGTTAAGGAAAATAAGATAAATAAATCCATAATGAGAAGTGGAGACTTTGGTCAGAGACGGGTCCAGATATCTGGAAACCCACTGGGCTGGGAAGTGAATTGCTCACAACCATACTGCGTGGCACTTAAGTTATTTAAGTGTCTAATACCTGCATCATTTGCAAACAAGAAAACTTACTAGGAGTGAAAGGAGGGAAGTTCAAGTTGTTTGATTCACATTTTTTATCAGGATCTTGGAGGGTAGATACTTCATCCATTTCCTTCAAAGACAAAATACACAAAACGTTATTAAAATAAAAGTAGCTAGCAGAAGATGCTTATAGCAGGAAGCTAGGATGCCTGTCTTCTGTTAACTGGGTTTTCTTTTTTTAAAATTTTAAATAATCTCTTCAACTTTTCTTGGCCTCCATTTCATTTTTATGAAATTAAATCATTGATTTAAATTATATTTAAGGTATATTAGAGTAATAAACGATATTGAACACATTTTAACTTTTATGCATTTATTTAGCTGATTAATCAAAATATAAAATCTTTGCCTTACAACTTGTAAAGACTTCATTGTCAGTGTTACTGTTTCAGTATACTTAAAAATCAAAGACAGAATAATGTTTTTGTTTTGTTGGTTTTCTCTGTCTCTTGTCTTACTGGAGAATGGTAAGAAACTATAATTGTAAAATACATTTTTCTAAAGTGAATTACAAATAAGTAATCTCTAATCTTGTCAACAAACAAAGATATCTGCAGTTTTCAAAGGAATTTCCTCACTGTTCTGTAGCAAAATACCACAAAGGCTTCAGGTTATTTTTTAATGATTAAGTCTTTGTGAGCCAATGCTATAAATAATAGCAATATTAACTTTTAGTAAAATAACACTTTTAGCTGAAAGAGACTTAATGGAGGGAAAAGTTAAGTCCTAGAGAAAACAAAGGGCTTATCAAATGAAACAAGTAATTGATGGCAAATCCAGAATAAGAACCCAGGGTTTTAGGAGCCTAATTTCCTGTATGTATGCCAGGCATTGAGAAAAAGAATTGTAAATGCCAGTGAACTGCTGATACGCAGCTTACAAAGGAAGTTTGAGTCTAGAGTGACAACTTACAATCCATACGCCATCAAACTCCAGATGTTTATAAAATTCAGCGAGCTGCTGGGTCCACCATGGAATCGAGGCTGGATTGCTGAAGTCGGGGAAGACTGACTGTCCAGGATAACCCTGGAGAAGAGAGCAAGGCTGTGGCAATTTGTGTGATGGTTCGGTTATTCATTGTTTCTTCGCCACTGTCTCTTTTACTAGAGACCTCATTGCTTATCATTTTAGAGTCAAAATCGTCACTCCCCTAACAACTTTCACACAAGCAGAAAAATACATACAAGAAGGTAAATGCAGGTAAAAAGAAAGGAAGATGAGCTGATTAAATGAAAATCTGTTATATGTCTATTTTTAAAATGCAAAATTTTATTATGTAAGGCCAATTAGAAGATGAACTGTTTAAAATTCTGGAAAGTCTGTGTTTAATGTTTTAAAAGAGAGTGATTAAGTATGTTTAATGTACTGTTAATTAAAGGTTTTATTAATCCTGTTCTGAGTAATTACTATAAATAATATTTTGAGTTTTGCATACAAACAACATTTTGTAAGTGGTTTAATCATGTTACTCTTGCTCATATTGAAGTTTCTAAGGCTTTCCCCTATTTTTTTTCTACATCTATCAAACAGTAGCTCAAAACATCTTCCACAAATAACACACAGGTATTCCCATAGCCAAGCTTTTAAAAATTCTGAATAGGTGTAACATTCTTGCTGATTTTCCTGATAAACGTGTATGTTGGAAATTAGGAGTAACTTTATAGTCACTCACCATAATAACTTTATTAAAATGCATGGATTCTTTTTTAAATTTATTCTTTGGCATTTTCACACGTGCAAGCAATGCAATTCTGATGCCTCTTGACCCTGACCCTCCTTGCCACCCCTATCACCCCCACCCATCCTCCCTGCATGTTCCCTTTCCATATTCATGTGTTCTTGTATGTTTTGAGAGCCAGCAAGCTTAAAGAGGGCTGTGGTAGTTTGGATGAGAATGTCTCCTAAAGGCTCCAAGTGTTAGAACACTCGGCCCCAATTAGCGATGCTATTTGCAGAGGTTTAGGAGGTGCAGCCTTGCTGGAGTAAGCCTGTCACTGGGGCAGGCTTTGAGAGTTCTTTCTTGCCTTATTTCCAGTTTTTCTCTCTCTGGTTCCTGTGCCTGCTTGAGGATGTGATCACTCAGCTTTCTGCCTCCTGCTGTGCCTCCCCCACCATAATAGACTCATTCCTCTAGATCCATAAGCCCAACAAACTCTTCCTTTTATAAGCTGTCTGGGTCAGGGTAGTTTATCACAGCAACAGAAACATAACTAATTCAAGGGCTATCATAAAATGCAAAACTTCTTAATATATAAGATGAGAGCTTGAAATTTGCTTGAATTTGAACAGAATGGGCTTTTGTTTCTTTGTTTTACTTGATGTGATTTTTACACCCCAGAAAACAGGTGGTTTTGCAACAGAATCCCCCAACAATATCATTAGCTGAAAAGAAGCCAGGCTCCTCCATTCTAACTAAATACATTTGTAACAACCTCTGACCTACATCTATAGCTACTGCCTCTGCCAACATCTTAGAACAAATTATTATTCTTGTTCACTGGTCAGTGAAAATAGTCATCTAATTCTTTTAATTACCTAAATTCTTCACCCAAACACCCCACCGGACTGAAATGGCTCACCCAATGTGGATCATCATTTTTATTTTTTATTTGACTGTACTCTCTGATTTTTATAACATATGAAAATCTAGCTGCTATTTTATAGATTTATATCTGTACAACAAAACAATTACAGTAAAAACTTGGTTTGGAGAAAGAAATTTCCTAAGCTTCATGGAAAGTTAAAATCAACAAAAAACGAAAGTAAATAGAATGAAACAGATAAAGTTGATGAAGGGAATTAAGTGAGCCAAGCGAAGGACAGGACATCAAACAACTCTGAAAAGACAAATTTGCAAAGTAAATGACTCAGGAGCTGTAATAACCACACAATGACACAGACTTCTGAGATTAAGTACCAGTTTTGTAAATGTCACACAATCATCTGGGCAAGCCCCACATACAACTGGAATGAAAGATTAGCTATGTGGTTTAACTGAAAGAACGTACTCCTAGAAGTACAGCTATCCTGAAAATATGCTGCTTAGTAGTTCAAACTTTAGAATCAAGCCTGGGTTTTCACCATGAGTCTTGTGTAAATTAAACATATATTAACTGAGATGGGCTCCACATTATTCTATGAGACTCAATACATTATGGATATTGAGTTTAATGTCTTGGGAAAGAGATAGAAACTCAGAGACAGACAGACTTCCAGGCATTTTCACCTAATGATACACTGCTTCTCAATTATCTAAAATACTAGTGTGTCTGGAGCTAGCTTTTAATATCTTAGAATTTTAATAACTTTGTTATCACATCTATTAGTTATTAGTTGAATGAATGAAACTTCTAAACCCATGAAAAGTAAGAGTATTATGATTTGCCTTTCCCCCATCTTCATATAAAAATCAAAAACTTCACCAAACGACTGTTCTGAATTTCTTGGGCAATTACCTCCCCAACAGCAAAGCCATTGGTGTCCAAGATCCACACTCGGCTTATGCTTCCATTACTGTAGGTCTGATAGGCAGGATCTTTCAAGATGCCAGGGTTCTAATAAGTAAGCAAGACATAAATATTATTTTGGAAAATTTCTTTTGTCGTCTGAAAGCAAATACAAGACATTAAGGTAAGTGTTATGAACATACCATAATAATTACATACTTCTGTCCATTGTTATGTAATTCTGTTGCAAACTTTGAGAGCTCGGGATAAGCCTGTTCATCAATGGTGAAATCTTTCTTTCCACTCATGTAGTCTATGTCTGAATATTGTACATCCTGAAAGATAGTTCTGGCCAGTTAAAACCAAGGAAATATCACCTTGCTAATGGGAAAGATTTCAACTCTGATTCCTAACCATTAAAAGAGAAACCATATAGCTTAATAGTCCTGCGACTTCCAGGGTTTAGCTGGCTCCTAGAAAGAAGTAAGTCCTCTTTGAAAGATGCCGCTGTTCTGTTAGAAACATGTCACGAGGTGTCCCAAGGAACTTAGGTCAGGAAATGCACCTTGTCATGCGGAGTCATGTATATGCTCCTCATGAGGGTGTATATGAGGAGGCCAGCATGTGACTTGCTTCCCAATGTGGTATCATGTGTTCTGATCCTGGGCAGTTACTCAAGACCTAGTTGCCTTACACAGCCACACAGAGGGAAGCTCCCAACCACAGTAGAAAAGTTTATTTGTTCTTGAACTGGTAGCACCACCAAAAGCTATTAGAAAGATACTACGTCAAAAGAACTATGGATACAAATTGGTCCTGCAACTTTGTTGTGTAACCCTGGAAAAGTGGTTAATCATACATTCCCTCATTCACAAAATAGTGATAAAGAAGGCCCAGCTATGACTAGCCCTTTGTAAAGTAAAATAAATAAGTGTGCCAAAATTTGGTCTAATTCTTCCTAGAATCAGATATTTTCAGTCAACATATGTGGGAAAAGCAAAATTAAATAACCAATTTCCCCTTAATATTAAACAATGTCATAGGAATAGGATTTGAAAACTTGATCTTTGTCTACTCTCTTTGATACTCTGAGGTTAGGTCAAAGTCATTTCCACCCATACAATCTTCCTTCAAATGCCAACACATATACATCTACACTAAAGTTTCAAAGTTCCAAAGAGCTAGTTCAGAGGAAAGTCTTTTAACAACTGCTTTGGCCACATGTTATGCATCTCCAAGAAGAGCTTATCAAATATTAGACACTTCAAGTTATCATTTTACTTGTTTAAAGTGGACTTTAAACATCATAAATACTTTATAGCCACAGAGCTTCAGAGTTAGAGCCTGCCAGATCTGGAAAGAGCATTACAAAGTCATTATGTGAAATTCGCTTGCCCTGGGTCATCATTATAACCATCAACTCTTGCTGACCAGTCACCTCAGGTGTTGCCTTCACTCATAAAATACATCTGGCTTTGATGGTATTCATGCTCTGGGTTAGATTTTTTTGATGTATTATATAAAGTATTTCTTTCTCCAGTAAGTGTTGAATTATCTGTTTTAAAGGTAGAAACTATAACATATAGTTGTTAATTAACTAACCAAACATTGCGTTGAGATAGGAAGAGACGAGACTAAAATTGAAAGCATATCCATTTGAATCCATCAACCCTGCACTTTTGATGATCAGATGAACAAGCCAATATGTAAATTCCGATACCATGGGTGCTTCTGTCAGTCGGTTTATTATTCTATGTTGATAGATAAATTGAATATAATAAATTGAATATAATACCCCATAAATTCAATATAATAACAAAAAAAGGAAGAAAAGGAATGGTGCCTAAGGCATGCTAAGAAAAGCCTCAACTTACATATGGGATCTCAGCTTTACGGTTTCGATCTACAACCTCCTTCAGCCTGTCAATGCCACCGTAATCCCTACGACTAAGCTGGAAACCAAGACTCCAGTACGAAGGCAAAAATGGTCGTCCAACAACCTGGGAAAATAAACAAAGATGTGTCTAGGCTTTTATAATTAACACTGTAGCAGCACGTCCAACATCTAAATCATTCATTCTTCCTCATTTTTCTGTAAAGTCCTTGAGTCTAAAAGTGTCAGAAACGAGAGGAATTTCCTACAGCAAAACTCCAAAGCTCTTATCTTTCTTCACTAAAATATCCAAATATACTTGCAACAACTACATCAGTAAATGATGAGATTTTCTGAAAATGTTTGACTATTGTGTCATCTTAGAGAGAAAAGGAGAGGGGCTGGGGATGTACATCAGTTGGCATCCATGAGGACGTGGGTTTGATTCCCATCAGTAATATAAAAATCGTCTGGAGGAAAGGGGGAAGCAGTCATTGCTTTATACGCAGCTGGAAGTTGGTGTCTCAATTTATTTCCCTGTCTGTGTGATAAAATACCATGATCACAGCAACTTAAGGGAGAAAGAATTTATTCTGGTTCACTGTTCAAGGTACAGTCCATCAGGACAGGGAAGTAAAAGTATCAGGGCCTTGAGGCAGCTGGTCACACTGCGTCCACAGTCAAGGAACAGTGGGCAAAGAATGATTTCCATTTCTCACCACTTTTCTTTCTCCATTTTACCAAGTTGAAGATCCCCTGCCTAGGAATAGTTATACCCAATACAAGAGGAATAACAGATGGGATTAAGCGTGTGGTGGGTGTTCCCTAAGACTCCCTGTGCTCCAAGAGTGTTTTTCTCACACTACTGAATTCCTGTACAGCATATTTAGATCTTATCTAAAACACTGAGTTCAAAGGGCTTCCTATTACAATGATTTTGGATTACACTACATTCTTGTTTGATTATAAATTCTCTGGCATCTAGAACCACCTTTAATATGACTTTACAAACCAGCTTGAAGAAATCACTTCATCTTTCTGTGTCTGTTTTCTCTGTCTTTGAAGTAAGGTGAGACTACATGCTGCCTGTTTCCTCCTATTCTGCATTTTGAATAAAATATAAATATCTAGGATTTCTTTCATATTCCCATTGCTTTCTGTTGTTGTCAATGAACTTTACTGATTTATGGCCTTGGGTCTTTGGAGTGACTGGTCATACCTAAATGGATGATAAGAAATGGAAAATGGACCTGCTTAGAAAGGAGAAAATACCTAACTTCCTTTTGCAATTTCTCAAGGCTTCCTGCATGGTACCCCTTTCCAGGCAGAAAACATCTGATAAATGTCATCAGAGCAAACAAATGAAAGACGAGCGGCTGTAGTCTCAGCATTTATACCCATCCTGTGTACTAATAACTAATTTTCCTCCTGTTAATTTAAACAAATACACCGAGAAAGCAGCAATGCTGACCCACAGTAGAGGGCGGGCAGAGTCCTACCTCCAGGTATTCCTGAACCACCTGCTCTGGACTGTTTCCCAAGAAGACATAAAAGTCAAGAATGCCCCCAGTTGTGCGGTAAGTGATGGCAGGAGCAGGTTGGAGGGTGGCCTCTGAAAGGATTAAAATGAATAATTCATTCAGTGATCCTTCACTGAAATGTGCATCTCTCTGGAATGTGAATTGCTGAGTCTTCCCAATCTCAGCATCATTTTCAGAGGAAAAAGAATTACATTTTGGCCAAAGTTTGTCAATACATTGAACAAGACACCCATCAAATAAAAGTTATGTCTGTTTCATTTCTTGTTTTACGAGAAAGAACAAGTTCTATTGCAATCTGGTCATATTAAAATATACATTTCTACAGTATGTGATTGGTTTCATATAAAAAAATTTTTAGAAACTATGAGTTTAACTACAGTTAATTTTTTAAATAAGTAAATAAGGTGTATTAGCACACCACAAATCCAGAACTTGCAGCTGGGTTGTGAGGCACACCCACAGACACAGCCTCTGCCTACAGGCAGACAGCATGCTGTATGTTGAAGCTGCAGGTATCTTTGGAGTGTGTACATCAATGAATCCCAGCATCTACACGATAAATATATTTCATCAAAGGAGACCCTTGAAGCAAGCAATTTCCAGTTAAAGGTCTCTATTCACAAGCTGGATTTGTGGATTAATTAAGCTAGCATCAGGTTCTAGTTTCAACAGAAGCACTATAGGTTTACCATGTGCCTGTTAAATGATGTTCTCACTATAAGAGTTATTCTTTTAATGAAAACGTCATTCCCAAATCTATTCTTAACCATAGAAGACAAAATAAGATGCTTCCTACCCATGGCATTACTGTTCATCAGAAAAACTCCAAAAGAGGCCCCACTGGTGTCTTCAAGGCACAAGAAGAATGTGTGTGCTCCATACAGATTAATCGTGCCCTGTCAGCAAGAAAGGAAAAAAGAAGCATTATATGTAAAAATATTTAGTGTTCAGGGACTGGAGAGATGGCTCAGTGGTTATGAGCATGTGCTGCTCTTGCAGAGGTCCAAGTTTCATCCCCAGCATCCACATAAGATTGCTCATAAGTGTCTGTAACTCCAGCTCCATAGATCTGATGCCCTTTTCTCGATTTCACAGCACCTGCACTCACATGCACATACTCACACCCAGACACACACAAACACATACGATTTAAATAAACTATTTAAAACTATTTATTCTGAAGGCATGATGGAGCATACCCTTAATCCCAGAGCAAGAGGACATGCTTAAGGACAGCCTACGCTCCACAGTGAACTCTAGGCCAGGCTGAACTACATAACAAGACTGTCTTATATAAATAAATAAGTAAATATCTTCAAGTTAAGGGAGGTAATCAAGGGCTGTGGCAATAACCTGTGTTTGGGGAGTCTTTTAGACCGGAGGGGCTCTAAATATCATCAAACCATATTATATGAAAATTTCCAAAATTCAATAGAAAAATAAATAAATGTTACTAACAAAACCAAATGCCAAAAAGAAAAATTCATGACATACATACACTTGCTCCACATTTAATGAAGTATTGTATCAAAATAGGTATTAAAATGCTACTATCAGCTAATGAAAGGAGAAAGAAACACAACATAGCATCTGTTCACTGGAATACAATTTGGCAATGATAAGAAATGATATGCTGATACTATAACAAAAATACATCTCAAAACTTGTATACTATATGAAAGAAACGTTACCATATGTTGTATGATTCTTCATACATATGTCTAGAAAAGTCAAATGTACACAAAAAAGCAGATCAGACATTGCCAGGTGCTAGTGTGGACACTAGCATAGAAATAGGGGTGAAGACTAAAAGGTATGACAGATCTGACTGGGGTGAGGAAAATGTTCTAAAACTGAATTACAGTGATCACAGAACTCTAATATAACCTTATATATGCATTGAATTCTATTTTCCATGATAGTTTTATAATTGCAATACTTTTAATTATGAATAATAAATAGCAATAATAGGTATTCCCAACACAGATACATGTAAATTGAGCAAAATAAAACATAATTGTATTTTTGCAGGGTACTTTTGGGAACAGAGAGGAGTATTCCTGACTGTAAGTGATGAACAGGAGGAAGGAACCTCACCTCTGTGGGAGTGGTGTCTCGGGTGAAGATGGGCCAGGTATTCCAGCTCATGCTATGGCGGTATTGTTGATGCACGTGCTCTCCCAGCCCATACACATTGGAGCTAGGTAGTCGGAAAGACAGCTGCAGGTACTGCTGGGCAAAGTGAAGGGGCCCTATGCTGGTGTCTAACCTGGACCATGAGGAGAGAGGGCGAATCAGTGAAGCACTCTATGTCTGCAGGAAGCTCTTTCTGCCTCTCCACGTGCACTCAGGGATTAATTACCTCCGGTGTTAGCACCAATTTTAGTGCTACCTTCAAAGGTGTTTCCGTGGTATTTATGGTTCTTTGAATTTAGGCTAGCATAGTACTATAACGGGACCCCATCAGCACAAGTTGGGTGATTGGGGATAAAAGAAGGTGCAGCTTTACATCTGCTGTGTGTCTATTCCCTCCTTGACACTACTAACCGTGTGAAGTCTTAGCACATTTCCCTCAGGAAAAGTGGGTATTAAGATCCTCTTCACAGACAAAAAAACAGATGCTGAAGTGGTGAGGTCAGTCACCTTACAGCACAGAGGTGGCTGGTAACCTGTTAAGTGCCATGACTTGAATATAAGTTTTACTGACATTAAGATTTTTGTCTCCTTCCATGCAATTTGTAATGTAAGATCAAATTGGTGTTAGGTGCTTAATGGTAGGAATCACAGGTAGTGACACTTTGAAATGGTAAACAGTGACATTTGAGTTCCGGTTTGAATGATAACTTAAAACTATAAAATTCTCTATTCCATAATGTTTGTGAACATACATATGTATACTTACTAAAAAGATATGTGTAAAACTTAGTAAACTAGTCATTATATTTTCATACATTTTTATCCAGCAGATTATCATTGTTATTTAGTCACAGAAAGTAATTTTATGATTTTCTGAAGTTCAAATATATTTTCAATTCCTATTCATCTTGTTGTGTACCCAGAGTGTGTCAGAATGAGTTATCCTGGGCCTCTGTATTCAAAGATGTTTGAAGAGTGTGGGAAAGCTCACAAGACTCTTTTGTTGCTCTTCCGCATTATCCGCATGCTGAAGGGTTTCTTGATGACCTCTATGTAGTAGTTTAAACTGGAATCATCAGCAGTCGCATTAAACAACTGGATGTTTTCATGAGGGACTTCATAGCGTTTCTCATTGTAATCGGTGACCTGTCAGAAAAATAACAGAAGAGACCATTCTGGGTAAGACTACTTCCTTGTTGAACTACCAAAAAATGCTGCTTCTGAAGCCTCAGTCCATGAAAATAGTTTCCAGTTCTTGACACTTTAATTTCTGATTTCTGAGGCAAAAGCAATCCAATTATATGTGTCCTGGCAAGTAAAAAGTCACCCATCATCCCCTCCAGAGATTCCTGCAGAGAACAGACAGGCCTTTCTGCCCATGTACCTTTGCTTATTACACAGCAGAAGAGGATGGGGTACTGCTTATCTCCAGAGAGATGATAGATGATAGATGATAGATAGATGATAGATGATAGATGATAGATGATAGATAGATAGATAGATAGATAGATAGATAGATAGATATTCCCTGGTGACTCCCACACCAACCTTAAAATGAAAACGATTGGCTGTCTCATAGTTAGCAGTGAAGAGGGCATTAGTAATATCATTTCCAAACAAAGGCGGGGATGGCAACTTTTTCAGCAGGGCAGTCAACCCTAAGGGGAGGGAAGGAGAGCATGAAAGTGTTAGGTTTCATTCTGAAGGTACCTTGGCTGGACCAAAAAGAGTTGCTTGCTGGGATACACTGGGGTAGTACTCACCTGTGCTTGTATTTGTTTGTACATTGGTGACTTCATAACCCCAGTTCCTAGGGAAGAAGCACCTAGGGACACTGGTATCTGCCACTGGTTTCCAGCAACATTTATGCTGCCATCTGCAGACATCCTGTAAGAAGAGCACAGAGCTGACATTATATAAAATGAAGAAAGGAAGTATTGCTCGTCTATTTATTTGCAAACCATCTAAATTCCAAGGAGAATTTAGGGTAGGTCATAATTATATTAACTCATGTATTCATTCTCAATTTCTTCATACACTTCTCTAGCCATCCAATACTCATTCTGTATCTATCAGATAAGGAAGTGATAACACAGATAAGTAAGATTTAGTTAGTGCTTCTGTAAACTGACAGTCTAGCTGTAGATCAAGAAAACTAAAATAGCAATTATGAGTTGAATGTTCCAATAGAATGTGCTAGGAGCTCGAGAAATACATACACCAGACACTGCACCCAGGCTGGTAGTCAGGAAAAATATAAATGTGTTGTTACAGCAACGGGGGACGCAAGAGAACAATAGTCCAGGCAGAGCAAACAGTGGTGCTCTGAAAAACAAAAAAACAGTCACTGTGCCAGGAGAAAGGGGAGGGCACACACTATGTTGTTAACTTGACTCTGGGGAAAGATTTTGAGGACAAGAAGGAAACATGGAATAAGGACTTCCCCATTTTATTCTGTATACACCTAGAATGTCTGAGTCATATTAAAATTTAGTATAGACTCTGTTATAAAAACTAAAGATGATGTCACACCACTGTTTATTTTAAAAGCATACACTACTGACAAGTTTTAAGATACCAATATCAGTTGTAATTACTCTGAAAAGCCACAATATGACTATAATTTAAAGCAAAAAGTAAAATCCAGTCACATTTTAACTATACATTCTTTTAAAATTTGACTTTGCTTTTCATAGATTTAACAGACATTCCTGCCTCACTTCTTTCACATAAGGCAAGAGTCAGCAGGGGACTGCTAAAGAAAGACTTGAGGAGTTCTGGGTGCCTCTGGACAAACATAAAGAACCTCTGTCACCTCTGAAACTGAGGTTTATAAAGTCCCAAAGTTCAGTTTCATTGCTGTAAATTGTTTCAAAGTTTACAGACCTCCATAAAGAGCAATAATCATCCAGATAAACATAATCTTTGTGTGTACAATCTACTCTAACAAACTTCTTTCAGACCCAAATACCAAAGGTCAAATCTTGGGGACAATTATTTATTGTTACTGCAAACTCCACGTCCTTTCATATATGGCTTCTACATACTTGCTTTCCTTATTTTTCATTTCAGATTCTCATAAACCCATGTCCGATTAGTGGTGTTGACACCGAGCAAGTCTCCTTGTTTCTTTTTCTTCCTTCTTAACACTATCCATACTAAAAGTATCCCTATGTTACCTCCCAAATTGATTCCATGTCATTTGTCATTCCAACAAAAATAACTAATAGAATTTATGGATAGAAAACTCACTTAGAAATTATCTAGCCTAACTCTATGTGATGCAAGCAAGTATTGCTTCAGTAGAGTCACTGATAAATGCTTAAATTCTATAAATACTATGTGCAACTTCTTTCCAAATTAGGAAACCTTATTTTTATATTTAGTATTTTACTGCAGTGATATTTCTTATTCTTTGATAAAATCAGCCTTTGGAAAGTTTAATGTTCTAAACTCTGCTGTGATTATATTATTGGCTTTTAGATAAATGGTCTCAAACCTTCTTGAAATTTTAGAAAGGAAAAGAAAACAGTATTATGAAGTGAGAAGAAAATGAAACAAATATTAGGAAAAAAACTTTAAATTGTCATTTTCTGTAGGTAATATTACCATATCACAAGAACACAAAAATGTCTATATATAATAGAAGAGAACTGATAAATTAACTTAAGAAAATATCTGATAGCAAGATCAGTACTCAAAATCAACCTTAAATCTATACTAACAATAGTAAACAGAAAGATGGAATCAAACATTAAATCATTTTTTAAAAATTCAAAGAAATGTCCATGATGTCTACACGAAAGATAAGAAGGATTTGGAAGATGTGTCCGATGTGCTATCATGGAGCTGTAGTAACTAGTATTGGTATTGGTAATTTAAAATCAAACACCATAAGCAAATCCACACATGCAAGCACAATTTTCAGTAAAGGCACCAATACAATGCAGAAACAAGAAGTCATTTCTCACATCTTGCAGTAGCTTCAGCAAAAGCTGTGGACACGGGAAGGGGACCAGATCTGAGCCAGGGTAAAGTGCAAAAGCGCTCAGAAAACTCCACATCATATATTTTCTTTAGCAGCAGCTGCAAGCTAAGGTAAAGACAAGCTCTGATCCAGAGTAAGGCCTACAGGCTCCTAGGGAGATCTACAATTGACAGCAAAATCTGCAGAGCCTGGCAGGAGGCCCAAACTGATCCAGGACAATACCTGACTGTCAGAGGAAGACTAGGGATAGAGCCTTTGGATCTACATACCAGTCAGAGGAAAACAACACCTCAAGCCTACTAGAACTCAGTCCTCTCCTGAGCATTGTAAGATCTTCACTGAAAGAAGGGAGACTTG